TACTATGTTTCCTCTAGAGTCTAAATCTTTGTTGCAGAGCAAAGAGAAGTATTTCGCACAATGCTTAATGCAAAATTAGTAATCAAGCATTAAACTCCAAACCTATTTTTTTCACTTTAAAATTAATTCTGGCTTAACCAGGAGAAAGTACTGGCTTTTTGAAATGGCCTTAAATAGCCAAATTCCAAAAGTAGAAACCTATTGATAATCTGACTAGTACCCTGCAGATGGCCCTCTCAAACTGTCATCGAACTTCTATGCTGACTCTGATGGTGAACTTTTTCTTTCTCTAGCAAGTTGTCATGCTGCATAGCAATTGCCCAAAGAGTACAAACTCACTGGCAGGTATGGTGAGAAATTTATGTTACATTTGAGGCTTGAAGGTTTTTAATTTAGCTGTGTGATACTGGGCAAACTGATGGATGAACCAGGTCTATAAATAGTTCCATGGCAAGGAAGTAAGACTGAAGCTGCGGCTTCTCTTTTCCACATCCACTCTTTGAAATCCTAGGAGGATTTCACTAATACCACTGAGAATTAATTATTTAATTAGCATTTCTTAAAGCAAGTATAATTATTTCTAGCCCATCACTGAAGGCTCGGCTGAAATGATGATATGATAGGGTGCCTTCACTGTCTCCCTAGAGAGAAACGATTGTGTCTTCCTCTGGAATCCAGCACGTTGCCCACACTTTTTAGCACATGTTCTGGTTTATATCATGGCTAGTTGTTTGTCTGCTTCTTACAAGACTGTAAAAATCTGGAGGGCACAGATGTTGTCTCACCTATCTTTAGATTCTGTTCTGTACCTAACACAGTGCTTTGTGTCACAGGGCTTAAGTAGGCATTTAGCAGGACACAAAAATAGATCAAATAGACATCAGCCTGCATTGTAGTCAGCAACCCGTATCATCAATGTGCACTGTACATGTATGCATAGTAAGCATGCTTACTTTTTAGAAAGTATAATTGCATTGTTTAAGCAGATTAGAACTTTACATGTATTCATTTTGTGTTTCCTATGTTCTGATGTTAAGGTTTAATGATGTGAAATTACATAGATCTGTGACTCTGGTATGTGGACTTTCTATGCAAAGAAGAAAAAATGTAAATTATGTATTATTAGCAAGCAATTTAAAAGTATTTTCTAGATAAATATTGTTTGAAGAAAACATGTAAACTCATTTAATTTATTTTTCTCAATCAAGGCTTTTAAATATAAAACAATCTTTTGTTAAAACACACATTTTTAAAGTCAAATTTTTGTTCTTTACATTTTATTTTATAGATTTTTAAAATGTCATTTTGTCCATTTTTTTCTTTCTCTTAAGGAAAAAGACTTTATGTCTTCCTAAATATTTTTCTTCCAAATCTGTAAAAGAGCAGCTCTAATGAAATGTTATAAAACCATTTTGGAAAATTATTATAAAGATTTAAGAAAAAAGTAATTCCCTTTGTAATTTCTAGAGGAAACAAAACACGATAGTACATTGGTACTGACCTGCGAACAAATTTGGATGTGATTTTGCTTATTATACCCGTTGACATTCCCCTTCTGGCATGTGCAAATGCACCCGTTTCATGGGATGGTGAAGCAGGTGGCCCATTATAAGCAGCGCTGAGTCGCTCCCGGAGCTGTTCACCATGGAAAGTGCTTCGGCTTGAGCTCCCTCGGGGAAAGCGGGTCCGGTCTGGAGTCGCAGTACTAATACTGTGAGCAGATGGGAAGCAGCAGGCACTCTCTGGTTTGTACTGCTGGGACAAATTAAGATATATCATTTAGAATAATGACAAGAAAACGTTTCAATTATGCTAAAAACTTGAAACAAATGGCTATGGCTACTTCTTTTGGCCCTACTTTATTTGTTCGCATTAGAGCTGTGAGACATGAGTTAATTTTATTTACTATATCGTTGGAGAGGAATAAAATTTCAGACTGAAACTAGGTACCTTTTGTCTGGTGACTAAAAATTAAGAAATGACTGAAACAGGGACACAAAGATAAATACTCTTTAGTATCAGGAATCCCAATCCAGGGGTAGTGCAAATATTTTTAAAATATTCTCCTGAACCACTTAGCAATGCGGAACACAAATTTTATTGTCTATTAAAAAGACATTGAATAAAATAATTTCCCATTTCTAATTTAGGCTTCAGTGATGGTACACCACCACATGGCACTACCAATATGCTTAACAAATCTAACAGAGGGTTAAAATGTTCAGATGTTCTGAATTTGAGAAATCCTGAAATAGAAAAATACTAGAAAACCAGTTATATAATTTTATACCCGAATAGGCTCTTGAGTTCATCAGTTTCGTTGACAGGAAAACTGAAGCCCTGTTTTATTAAGAACAAGGAACTGAGCCTGATCATTACCCAAAGGTCTCAACTCCAAGTTTAGTGCTTGTTTGGATATGTTTAAATCATAAAAAATCACTTTACCTAAGTGACAAATTAAGCAGCGATATTTAACTTTATAGATGGACCTAAAACCAAATCCTTAAAAAAATTCCTCTAGAAAATGACTCAAGTTATATGCAACATTTCCAATAACAGCCAAAGCACACAGAAAATTTATGATACAATTCGATTTTTCCTCTATTACAAACACTGAATCTTGTCAGAAAGGTCTTAATGTGATGGTGACTATCATGTATTTTCACACGGTACTACATATTTTTAAACAGTGAACAAAATGAAATGTAACCAGCACATTACCCAGGCTGGTAAGCTTCAGAGCCGTCTTAAAGGGTTGGCAGTGTGACTTTAATAGGATGACCAGAAGTGGACATGGACTTCTGGTGGCGGGGTCGTGCTGAGGGGACAGCAGAGGCCACAGAAGAGCCTGCAGAAGATATGCTACTCACAGACATCTCTGTAAGGCTTTTGTCATAAAGCAGTTGAGAAGACCATGGAAATGTAAAAAAGAAGAAAAATTGTGGTTTACTAAAATTTAAGAACTATATTTTTAAAAAATCTAAACTGAATAACACCTTTCATGACTGAAATATTTGAAAGAAACTAACATTAACAGCATTATTAATGACTAACAAAAAAATAATATTCTTATGAAAAGTATCCAGGATAAATGTATCACTATCATCCATGAAAAAAATCTCACACACACTTACTCATGTATGTAAATGTGAGAAAGTATAAAATTCTTTTTGTGGAGATACAATAATTTCAGACAAAATGATTATGACTAAGTCATTTTTTACTTCCCGAAAATCACAGTTTGGTGTGATATGTCGATGTAGTTCATTGTCCATTATTGATACAATCAGAATTGGTAATTATACCAAAAATATTATCTCTGGATACATCAACACACTTTTAGTGTCAATAGGTTAACTGTTGCCGATGAAAGGAGCTGCAACTTAAAATTTAGTACAGGAAAAATCAATTTAATTAAGTCTGAAATCAATGTCCAATTATATTATGTTCAACGAAGATACAGTTTTCTTTGCATGCCTTACAATAACACTTACTTTACAGGGTCAGGGAGGTAGGCAGTCACACTCCATAAAGTGCTCTTGAGCTATGAAAAACACCTGTGCAGCCAGGTGTGGTGGCTCATGCCTGTAATCCCAGCACTTTGGGAAGCCAAGGCAGGTGGATCACGAGGTCAGGAGTTTAAGACCAACCTGACCAACACGGTGAAACCCCATCTCTACTAAAAATACAAAATATTATCTGGGTGTGGTGGTGCACACCTGTAATCCCAGCTACTCAGGAGGCTGGAGCAAGAGGCAGGAGAATGGCTTGAACCTGGGAGGCGGAGGTTACAGTGAGCCCATATCGCACCACTGCACTCCAGCATGGGTGACAGAGCGAGACTCCATCTCAAAAAAAAAAAAAAGGAAAATGAAAAACATCTGTGCAGAATGCAGTCAAGGGACAAGGTAGAGAGTGGCCACATCTACCTGGGAGGTGGGAAGGTCAGGAAAAGCTTCTGAGGCTGCTGACCCTAGACCTGGTCTCCACGCAGAATGGGCAGGCATTTCAGGCAGAGGGAGGAACACTGACAAAGGCATGGAGCTGTGAAAGGGTCCAGCACGTTCAGTAGCCCTTGCAGGAATGAGTGACTAAGCCTGCTTGTAGTACTTTTCAGTGGCTACACTATTCACTCTTTTGGTGGTGAGCATCGACCTAAGCCATATACTTTTAAAAAGACTCCAGGGAAAGTGACATATTAAGTTACAGTTACAGCCCTTGTGCCTGATGGAATCCTTCAGCCTTAGGCAGAGGCTCCTGGTGCTCATGACTCTCTAGCCATAACACCCCCAACCCTGCGCTCCTACCCCACAGTACACAGCACTGCCCAGCTCCTTTATTCTGGGCACATAAAGCAGGCAAGGGCTGAAAAGTAAACGTCCTAGCTGCTATTGACCCCAGGAGCAGGGTCTAATGGTCCATTCTTCCATCCCAACCTCCCAGGGAGGGGTCAGCTGTGTAATCTGAATCCTCCATTAAGTGGAGAATGAAAGTTTTCAGATTTTTTTCTTTTTTTTTTTTTTTGAGATGGAGTCTTGTTCTGTCACCCAGGCTGGAATGCAGTGGCGCCGTCTCAGCTCACTGAAACCTCCGCCTCCCCAGTTCAAGTGATTCTCCTGTCTCAGCCTCCTGAGTAGCTGGGACTACAGGTATGTGCCACCACGCCCAGCTAATTTTTGTATTTTTAGTAGTGACGGGATTTCATCGTGTTGGCCAAGTGGGCCTCAAACTGCTGATCTCAAATGATCCGCCCACCTTGGCCTCCCAAAGTAGCTGGGATTACAGGCATGAGCCACCATGCCTGGCCTGTTTTCAGATTTCTTAATTCCGATGGTTGCTAAAGGAGTTGGTCATTCAAATCTCCAATGGTAAGTAGGGATTTAGTTGTGGCCTTCCAGAAAGCTGCTGCTACCCCATTGTAATGTTCCCTCTGTGCCTGATTCTCTACCTTAAAAATTCATTTCTCTGGGTTATGCATTGGGGTGCAGGGTGGCCTAAAAATGCATGTGTCCTCCGGAGGTGACACCTACGTCATCATGCTGTTGAGACTGAGCTCATCTGACCTCTTTCTCTGCATCCGGAGGGTCTAAGCAGGAACAGGATCACTGGTGCATGGAAGGGGGGGCTTCTTGGAGGGAGGAAGGTGCAGAAAGGGAAGTGGAGTACCTTGAAGACCCACTTCAGGCTTTAGCTCGGGAATGTCATTTCCCTTCACTGTTGTTAGAAGCACAGACCACATCTGACAGGTCATGGAGTAGATAATTCACCCATTCATTCATTCATCTATTCAGTCCTTTATCAAATCTGTATTGAGCAGGCCCGTTTGGGGGCTCCATGATGAGTTAGGGTAGCTGCTGTCATACCTCCTGCTCCACTAAGCTGTCTCACCTTGTGCTATGGCTGAATCTTCCCTCCACCTGGGACCTCTTTTCCATCAGACCATGAGTCTGAAGCTCACAGTCACCTCTCAGCCCGTTCTGGCCCCTTTCACCATCTAGGGTCACTCCTTCCCCTCTCACATCAGCTGACTTTATGCTTCACCAGAATTCCCTCTCTCCATTGATGTCAATGCATTTACTCATCAAATCTTGCATCTTCTGGAGAGCAGGATCCTGGGATCCTTTCGTGTTTGTGTCCCTCCACAGATGTGTACACAGTGCTTGATTAATGCTGAATGGGTGAATGAATGAATGGTGGGTATGCTGGGTTTCTTCAGGTTAATGTCAACCCCATATGGTTCTAAGTGTCCTTCATCAATAAGCTGGAGGCATTTAGAAACTGAGGGTGTTTTCCTGGTACACTGACACAGGATGCATCTGTCCTGAGTGTATGTGTGTGTGTTCTCCTAGATTAACATAGGATGTATCTGTTCTGAGTGTGTGTGTGTGTGTGTATGAGAGAGAGAGATAGTGTGTGTGTTCCCCTTAAATCATAGGGAAAGCTTGTGCTTGGCCGTAGTCAGTATGTTTCCTGCTTTGTTGGGTGTTAGTGGGGATTCAGAAGGCCATTTCTCTGGGCACAATCCTGGGGATGCTTTAAGGATTGTTATAACTGTTAGAGTCTCTGACTTTTACATGATCTTACAGTATACCAAGTTTATTTACAACTGCTTCTCACAACAGCCCTATCTTGTCTTACAGAATTAGAAATGATTGCCCACCCCTACTTGAGGCCACTCAGCTGTGAGGGCAGAGCAGGTCTTTTCCCCTGGGTCCCAGCTCTCCTCCCTCCCCCTTGGGTTCCCAGGTTCCCCACCCTAACTAACAGAGGGGCCCAGGAAAGACGCACACCTGTCCTGTCTCAGCAGGACCAGGGGCCATCATCTCATGGCTTCCATGGAACGAGGCCCCATCCTGGCTGTCCTCCAGGAGCCCTGCTGAGATGGTGCTGGAGACACTTATGATGGAGCTGATGGGGCAGATGCGAGAGGCTGAGAGGCAGCAGCGGGAGCGCAGCAATGTGGTCAGGAAGGTCTGCACTGGTGTGGAGTATAGCTGACTGGCCAGCACACCCCGGCCCACCTATGACCTCAGCCCCAGTGAACGGCTGCAGCTGGAGGATGTCTGCATCAAGATCCACCCATCCTACTGTGGGCTTGCCATCCTCAGGTGAGCGCTGGGAGGGGGAACCCTGTTGGGCTGCAGGCTCCAGGAAAGCTGGCTGCAGTGGCAGGGGCCTGAGGCCACCATGACTAGAGCCAGGAAGCCTGGATGACCTAGTTATCTGTTAGAAGGAGCAAGAGGGGAAAAGGAATCTGAAGGAGACCAGGAATGCTGGGCTAGGGTTAGAGTCCAGCAGGAGGCAGGAGGCAGCTCCTGGAGGCGTGTGAGTTTTGATTCATGAGAACACAATGCCTTTGAGTTTCTCTTCTCGTGCCCTAATTGTTATTGTCCTGGATTTTAATTTACCTGGCTTCTTTTCTTTCATCAGTTTCTCTTCAATATTATCTTCTTGGAGAAATTTTCCCAGATGTCTCTCCAAAATCGGATTCTTAATTATCCTAGCTTATGTTAGCTTTCACACTAGTCTGCCCACAGGTGAGTGAGCGTGCACGTGTGTGTGAGAGAGAGAGGGAGAGTGTGTGTGTGTATATAGGAAAAGTTCAGACAGAACCCTGGGACACTGCTTGGGTACAACAATGTTCCTGAATATAAATGTAACCTTACTGAGGCTGTGACCACATGGTCCTGTCTCAGGATTGGTGCTGATGGCAAAGAAGCATTGGATAATTTCAAAATCATTCAAGTTCTTCATCTACACTTCTCTTTGTAAAGGAATATCAGTCAAAACATCTTAAAATTCCTGTTAGTCTCCCCAAATCTTCCCTCACCCATCCTTTTAACCAACATATGCATTAATTGTACACCTTTTTCTTTGAAATTGCCTTTAAAAGCTCCTCTCCTTCAGCCCCATCCACCTTCTTCAGCCCCATCCACATTCCTTGTTTTTTGTAGTTGCTTTCACCACCCCTCCCCTTTCTTCATCTGGGCGGAGAACCTCACCCTCCTCCAGTTTTCTGATTCTGCACTGCAGAAGCCTCCCAAAGTGTATCTATTCCAGAAGCACCTGGGGACAGGGGTGGGTCATGGGATGGAGCTGCTGATAATGGAATCTGGGCTAGCAAATCAATCCTCAAAAGTGAGGGGGAAGGCTGGGTATACACAGGTCATGATTTTCCTGGCTCATTTCCCATCTCATGTCACTGCTGAGAAGACTGAGAAGTCCTGACTCTCAATGTGGTGGAGGAAGTCTGGTATTAAATAGACTTGCTAACCTTAACTCATGAGCTCTAAGCAGAGCTAGCCTAGGCAGAGCAAACAGCTTGGGAAAACACACAGCCCCTGGGAGAACCTGGGACATGTGGGGGCCACAAGTGATTCTTCCCAGCTGATGTGCAGAGTCTTCTGGGGAAGTATCAGGGGACCCCTGTGCATGGCAAACAGCTCACCTGGAAGGAATATCACAGGGGCAGTGACATCATCAGATATATGTTTCAGAAAGATCATGCTGGCCAGTGGGTAAAGAGACAGGAGAGGCTTAGCCAGAAGGCCTCCCATCAGTAATGCTGCCACAGCAAAGGACTCCCCTTAATGCTCTGTCATCAACAACCTTAGGTAAGTGTCAGGATCTTTACACACCTTAGTTCATTATAGCTCACAAAAAGGCCGCTATCATCTCAGATTACAGACGAGGAGGCTGAGGCCCACGGAGGCCAGAAGTGGCAGAGCTGGGTTTTGAACTCAGGATTGGTTGAAGCAGTAGCAACGTGGGGTGGTTCCTGATGCGCTTCAGGAGCAGGGTAGAGTGGGCAAACTGGCCACCAGGATGTACGGGCAGCCCCTGGGGTTAGACACCCCGGGTGCCAGGCTCGCTGTTGCGGGTGAATGGTCCCACGCGCCCTCCCCTGCCGCCCAGGTTCCCGCAGCTGCTGGAGGAGCAGGAGCCAGAGGTGCAGGAGGTGTCCCGGCTCTTCCGCTCGGTGCTGCAGGAGGTCCTGGAGAGGATGAAGCAGGAGGAGGAGGCCCATAAGCTGACGCGCCAGTGGAGCCTGCGGCCCCGCGGCAGCCTGGCCACCATCAAGACCCGCGCGCGCATCTCCCCCTTCGCCAGCGACATCCGGACCATCTCCGAGGACGTGGAGCAGGACACGCCGCCGCCGCTGCGGTCCTGGAGCATGCCCGAATTCCGGGCTCCCAAAGCTGACTGATCCCTGCCGCTCCCCTGCCCAGAAGTGGAGCCGTCTACAGGGGCATGATAGGCTGGTGACCGGGGCGCCGGGCCCTGGAACCTCCCCACCTAGCCCTGACGAGGAGACGGAAACCCCAGGCGGCCCCATCCCAAGATGCTGCTATACAATGAAGCAATTTCCCGGCCCACCCTCTTCCTCTGGCCACAAAGCCGAGTTAGGTCCTAGAGCAGCACCGCCCTCGCCCTGGCCCTCGCCCTCTCCTGTAGCCTGCAGGAGCACCCCTTCCCAAACTGGCAGATTCAAGACCTTGGAAGACAGACCATTGCCCCGTCCTCATCTCCTGTTTCTGTCTCAAAGGGGAGAGTTGCCCTACGTTTTTGCAAGACCTAGAGTCTTACCCCAGTTTCAGGGATGTCCCATTCACTCCCCTACCCCCATCCCCAATGATAAGGGACCTGTTGAATGGTATCCATTCTCGCTAGTGACTGGCTGAGCTCACCACTGCAGGTGGGTCACAGCCTCACGGGCAGGTACAGCTGGAAGCGACCAGAGAGACAATTAGATCCACTCTCTTCAGCTAGTAAATTTGGAAATTGAGGCTCAGAGAGGAACACTTCTTCCACCTTTAACTGTAGCCAGCTCCTCATGAACAGTGAGATTGTTCCTGCATGAATAGTGTCTGTTCCTGAGTCTGGAATCCTGGGCTGGGATGGGACAGGTCCAAAGGATACATCTCTACCTACCTGTGCCCTGATCTATCTCTTACCTTGGCACTGGGATGGGGGTCTAAGCTGCTCTCCAAGAAGTGTAGCTAGGGGTGGAGGTAGGTTACTCATTACCCCATGCCACAGTGTCATCACATGGCCTGTGGCCAGTGCCTAGCAGCTTCTTCTAGAGGCCTTCAGACGCTGCTCTAAAGAGCCCAGATTTTTCAATTCCAGGATTCTCCCTTCTGCAGCTGGTCACACTTGCTCTCTGACTTTCTCCAGGAAGTGATGCCCAAACCCCTGACTGACCATGATGCACCTGAGTGAAATGTTCTAGAAGAGCTTCCTGCAGACTTCACTGCCCTTCCCTTTTCTAACATGGTTAGGCCTTGATGATGGGCATGTGAATTACCCAATGTATGGATCACTGTGGAAAATCTGGAAGACCAGGAGGCCTTCCCGCCTTCCCACACACTCTGGGGTTCAAGTGGAGTATAAAGGGGATGGGTGGGGAAAGTGTCTACCCTCAACTACCAGTGCACAGGCAGAAATGCAAGTGGATCTTAATAGTAGCCTAAATAAAATGCCAGGAGGAGATATAATCAACGGAGAGTTGGGGGGCCAGAATCTGTATATTCCCTCAGTGGAAAAAGCTTTTCTTTGAATGATTTGGTTTTGAATGATTTTCACTGGAATCTGGATAGAGAATCATAGGATGATGGAAAACCTCTGATCCAACACTATCAAGGTGGAAGAGTTGATTGGCTTATTAATATAATTGGTAGAGGATGAGAATAATTTAAAATATACATGTTAAACATCTTACATATTTTAGTTGAAGACATAAAAAGTTCACTTGATTGCCAAACTTTTTTTTTTTTTTTTTTGAGATGGAGTCTTGCTCTGTCACCCAGGCTGGAGTGCAGTGGCACAATCTTGGCTCATTACAACCTCCACCTCCCGGGTTCAAGCGATTCTCCTGCCTCAGCCTCCCAAGTAGCTGGAACTACAGGTGTGCGTCACCATGCCCGGCTAATTTTTGTATTTTTAGTAGAGATGGGGTTTCACTATGTTGGCCAGGCTGGTCTCAAACTCCTGAGATCGTGATCCACTCTCCTTGGCCTCCCAAAGTGCTGGAATTACAGGCAGGAGCCACTAGGCCCAGCAACCAAACTTTTGATTAGGTGCAAGCTGTGCTTTTTTGTGACCTGTATGTTTTGTCTGGTGGGAGTCCTACACTTACGTTTTCTTGGTTTGTACTTCAATCATAACAGTAAGAACAACTGGCATAAAAGAATTCTGGAACAAGCAGAAGTGACCCTTGGTAAGCAGACAGCTCAGCTGGTAGGGGCAAAAGTGTTGGGGAGAATTAGAAAAAGGTCTCCATACTGTGGGCTTTCTGGGTGCCCTGGATGTGGGTCAGCAGATGTTTTAGAGGAAATGGTTAACCTGGAGGGAGATTCAAAGGCGGCTGGATAAGAGAATATCTATTTTTCTTCCCTATCACCCTACACATACGTATTCTCTCCAAAGAAAGGGAAGACCTGAGGCTTTCAACGTGGTGTTCTTTTTTGAGTTTAAGTAACTGGCTGCCAATGAAAACCTTTCCTGCCGACTGCAGGCATGTGGACAGAACCCACCAGCCCCCTCGACACTGGTTGTCCTACTACAGGTAATCCCAGCTGGTGGCTCTCAAAGTCATGAGGGTCCAGAAGTTGTTCCTCTGGATTCAGGTTGTTAAAGGGACGAATGATGTCTGCCTCCATTTCTATTTTTAAAAACTCACTAACCACAAATGAAAGAACAAAAAGTTTGAGAGTGTCCTTGTAAGTATTTCATGAGTGGCTGGTGGTATTTTGGAGGGGACAAGTTGAGCATGTTTAAGACTGCCACAGACAGCCTGTTTGCACCCAGATCACCACCTCTAGCCACTAGAGGGAGTGGGTGAGAGGCTTGGACTACTTGGTGACTACTTTTTTTTTTTTTTTTTTTTTTTTTACCTTATTATGAAAATTTTCAAACACACAAAAAAGTAGAGGGAAAAGTTTAAGAAGCCCCATATGCCTATCACCAAGGTTTAATGGTTACTAACATTTGGCCATATTTTATTTTTGTGTGTGGAGTATTTTAAGATAAATCCCAAGATGTTGTGACACTTCATCTCTGAATACTTCAGTATGCACTACATAGGCATAAGAACTTCTTCCTATAAGACTATACTACCGTTATCACTCGTAACAAAATTAACAGTAATTCCTTCATATTATCTAATGTCCTGTCCATATTCAAATTTCCCTGTTCCCAAGAAATGATTCTTGCAGTTTATTTCTTTGAACAAGGATCTAATCAAGCCGCACACGTTGACAAGAAAGTTGAAGTTTATTTTTGTTGTTATTGTATTCGCGGCTTGTTTTAAAGTGGTTATATAGTATTATGTAATTCCACAGTTAAGCATTGTTTAATGATAGAGTGCTTATGGAGCACTCATGTTAACATTGCAATAAGTTAATGACTGAACGAACTCAAATGATAAAAATTCTGCAGTTTAGCATAATGATTCTCTTACTCAGATTTTTATTATGTCATTTGATTAAAATTCTTCCACAGTTGCAACCAAGATTCCTTCATATTTTGAAAAGAAATGTTAAAAATTGAGAGTAGGCTGGGCACAGTGGCTCAGACCTGCAATCCCAGCACTTTGGGAGGCCAAGATGGGCAGATCACTTGAAGTCAGGAGTTCAAGACCAGCCTGGCCCATATGGTGAAACCCTGTCTCTACTAAAAATTCAAAAATTAGCCAGGCATGGAGACACATGCCTGTAATCCCAGCTACTCAGGAAGCTGAGGCAGGAGAATCATTTGATCCTGGGAGGTGGAGGTTGCAGTCAGCTGAGATCGCACCACTGCACTCCAGCTGGGCAACAGAGCCAGACTCCATCTCAAAAAAATAATTGATAGTGACAGTATATTTAATATGACTTTTCATTTGATGAAAATACTTGTCACATCATATGTTTTATTTTCTAGGACATGCTTGCAAATAGCAACCTAAAACCTTCTCCCTTTTTCTTGCCTCTTAGAAACAAAACACTAAAATTTATCAAAATAACTCAAGAGAAATCTTAAGAATTCCAGTAACAGATAATGAAAAAATTTTGTCTATTTTTGATGCCATCGTTTATCATGTAGTTAAATTTCAGTCTATGTCTTAATATTCATGTGATCTCCCAACAAAACACAAAGTTACTTCAAAATGTATTCATAGACAAATTATTTTTAGGCAATTATTTTGATTTGTCACCTTGACTCATTTGTTAAAAAAGGAAATTGGCATCTGTCTCCTTTTACGAATATTATTACATATTGCATCAAATTAGCATTATTAAAGACTTAAACGTAAGACCTAACACTATAAAAACCCTATAAGAAAACCTAGGCAAAACCATTCAGGACATAGGCCCAGGCAAGGACTTCATGACTAAAACACCAAAAGCATTGGCAACAAAAGCCAAAATAGACAAATGGGACCTAATTAAACTTCAGAGCTTCTGCACGGCAAGAGAAACAATCATTAGAGTGAATTGGCAACCAACAGAATGGGAAAAAATTTTTGCAATCTACCCATTGGACAAAGGGCTAATATCTACAAAGAACTAAAAATCTACAGAATCTACAAAGAACTAAAACAGATTTTTAAGAAAAAATGCAAACAAACCCATTCAAAAGTGGGTGAAAGATATGAACAGACACTTTACAAAAGAAGACATATGAGGCCAACAAACATATGAAAAAATGCTTATCATCACTGGTCATTAGAGAAATGCAAATCAAAACTACATTGAGATACCATCTCATACCAGTTAGAATGGCGATCATTAAAAAATCTGGAGACAACAGATGCTGGAGAGGATGTGGAGAAATAGGAACACTTTGACACTGTTGGTTGGAGTGTAAATTAGTTCAACCATCATGGAAGACAGTGTGGCGATTCCTCAAGGACCTAGAAATAGAAATTCCATTTGACCCAGCAATCCGATTACTGGGTATGTATCCAAAGAATTATAAATCGTTCTATCATAAGGACACATGCACATGAATGTTCATTGCAGCACTGTTTACAATAGCAAAGACTTGGAACCAACCCAAATGCCCATCGATGATAGACTGGAAAGGGAAAATGTGGCACATATACACCATGGAATACTATGCAGCCATCAAAAACGATGAGTTCGTGTCCTTTGTAGGGACATGGATGAACCTGGAAACCATCATTCTCAGCCTACTGACACAAGAACAGAAAATCAAACACCACATGTTCTCACTCATAGGTGGGTGTTCAACAATGAGAACACATGGACACAGGGAGGGGAGCATCACGCCACACTGGGGTCTGTGTGGGGGAACTAGGGGTGGAGGGACAGTCGTGGGTAGGGAGTTGGGGAGGGATAATATGGGGAGAAATGCCAGATATAGGTGATGGGGAGGAAGGCAGCAAACGACATTGCCATGTATGTACCTATGCAACAATCTTGCATGTTCTTCACATGTACCCCAAACCTAAAACGCAATAAAATACATATTTTTTTTAATTAGCATTATAATACTAAGGTGCTAAAGACAAAAACAAAAATTATTTATCATATTCAAGGCAAAAATAATAATTTAAGTTTCTAAAAATGTGCAAGTTTTTATATAACTGAAAAAGGTGTTCACAAGCCAATAGAGGTTGGGAAGTGTTTTCTAGAACATTTATTGTATTGCATGCCAGTTACAATTCTTTTGCTGGAACAAATATAACATTCTTAAAGCCCTGCAGTAAAACTTGGAAGTTTTTCAACTCAGGCTCCCGTCTCAGCTAGGATTTGATTCAGGGAAAACTACATTCCAGAAACAAGCTGTTCCTATCTGTGCGAACTGAGCACTGCCGCTAACTGCTTCCAAGGCACTTCTGGTACCTGCTCAGGGCCATGAGACTTTCTAGAATCCAGGGCAAAGGGTGATACAGTTGAGGTTAGCCTCTCCTTAGTAGAAAAGAAATCAAGCCACTAGGCAAAAGAAAAAAAAAAAAAGGCTCCAAACTCCAAACGGAATGGGAGAAATATGTACTTTATCCAAATAAGCCATCCCAATAATACTGCTATAAACGGAAAAGACTTTGTCGTCAAGAAATTCCTTTATTAACATTTGAATGATGCTTTACAGTTTACAAAGTGCTTTCACTCATATTACTTCACTTGATGTTGAGGGGGTGGGAGAGTAGGGGGTGAGGTGCATTATGTTTTGTTTCAGATGGCATTAAGTGGCTGCCTAGAACTGGGAAACAGAGCTCCTTCCATGTGCTGTAAGCATCATAGATCCTTCTGTGTTCTCAGAACCACCCCCAAATACTCTATCACTGTACTTACCACAAAGTGATGTAAATGCCCATGCTTTTGCTGTCGCTTCTTCCTCCCACTTTACTGTTCCCCCACTCCAGTAGTTTATGAAATCTTTAAGTGCAGGAAGCAGGCCATTTACCTCTGTGTCCCCATCTTCTGGGTACACGGTAGGCACTTCACAAATGCGCTTATCAGATAGGTGCAGAGGGACACCAACATAGACAGCTTACCTAGGACAGCAGCAGAATAAAGAGAGGAATGAACATTGTGGCAATTATGATGCAGCTGTATCATTCATTAGATTATATACTCTTTGAGGCACTGCAGTGCTCATGTCTGATTTCAGTTTGTGTCACTCAAGATATGTCTCTTACACAGTAGTCAAAAACTTAAGAATGCATTCCTTTGCTCATCAAATATTTACAACCATGTGTAATGATTATAAAGGAGATGGGGCAGGGGTGTGGTTACCTCATCTGTAAGTCTTCTAGCCACATAAGCCTCTTGTTGTCTTGAAATAATTAATAATTTTTTAACAAAGGGCTCCAAATTTAATTTTGCCCTTATGTAGCTGCAAATTATGAGGCTGGTCCTGATGGCACCCATAATTGAGAAGTTCAGGGTTGTTACTGACCAAACCTGAACACAATGGAATGTGCGCTCTCTCCTCCTCCTCTTCTTCTTCTCCTTCTCTCGGTCTCTCTTGTCTTTCTCCCCTTCTACTCTCTTTTTTACCATCTTTTAGCTCTGCCTTCTTCTGTGTGATGGTTGACTCTTAGCCATCACACTTCTTTTAGTGTGAGCCACTTCTTTTAGATGAGCAGAGAAGTATGGCATGTAGGGCACAATGTAGGGAAGCTGATGGTCTTTTAGCTCCTTCTAGATGGGTTATTGTGAGGTGAATTCCCAGAACATCAGGTATAGATGTTGGGAGTTGGGGAACCCAATAAATGACACCTCACTCTTCCCCACCTGTGCTCAAAACAAGTTGAGACACCTGGAAGTTGGGCACATAGAAGAGCAAAATGACCCTGTTGTTTACTGATAAAGCTGTTTGGAGTATGCAGAAATAATGGGCTTTCTAATATTACAGTCTAAATTAAGATGGACTTACCCAGTCACAAACAGAGCTACCCAACTAGGGTTCTCCCCAAGGGGGACTGTCCCTGTAAAACCGACAGCACGGAGGGACGGAATGTGTGTTTTCTCTCCAGCAGGTCCCAAACAGAAAACAGGAATGGGACTGAGCAAACTCACCAATCACATGAATCATTCCTACCCCGGGGAAGAGAGAATGAAGCCAGGAGTATTACTCCAATGGGAAAGTGGGTTCCAGCCTCCTATCCACCCACTGTCCAAGAACAGGTGCCCAACATTGGCGCAAAAGCTCCTTTGGAGCCAAACGTGAATTTGGGATTATCTCAGTCATTAACATGGATAAGAGTTTGCTCTTGTGACACTTGATTAGTGACACACTGATTCTTCTTGCAGGAGACAGATTTTGTTTGTTTTGATGGAGGAAGAGATGATTTTGATAATTATAATGTCGAAGAACTTTTAGGGTTCTTGGAACTGTACAATTCTGCAACTGGAGATGCTGAGAAAGTTGTAGAAAAAACTTCACAGGATGTGGAAAAAAGCCCTGACTTATCTAAGGAAAGTGAACCTGAGCCTGAACCAGTAGAAGCCAACTCAGAGGAAAGTGACAGAGTGTTCTCAGAAAAGACAAAGGATCTTCAGGAACAGTTTGCAGCTCAGAAGCACCACCCCCATACAAACAGCCAAGCACATCAGGCTCAGGGAGAGCAGCCTTCATTTGGAGCTTTTGAAGAAATGCTGCAAGATAAACTAAAAGTGCCAGAAAGTGAGAACAACAGAACCAGCAATAGTTCTCAGGTCTCAAATGAACAGGATAAGATTGATGCCTATAAACTTTTGAAAAAAGAAATTACTCTAGACTTGAAAACCAAATTTGGCTCAACAGCTGATGCACTTGTATCTGATGATGAGACAACCAGGCTTGTTACTTCATTAGAAGATGATTTTGATGAGGATTTGGATGCGGAGTATTATGCAGTTGGAAGGAAGATGAGGAGAACCAAGAAGACTTTGATAAGCTGCCATTACTCACCTTTACAGATGGGGAGGTATCAAAACTCCAGCAAAGTCTGGAGATGAGAAATATTCAACAGATAAAGAGCCGAATTCAAATGAAGAGGATAAGGTTGAGCTAACTGTGCACCCTGGCATCAAAAATGATGATAAAAATATACTAACAACCTGGGGGGATACTATCTTTTCTATTGTCACAGGAGGTGAAGAAAAAACAGATACACTGGATTTAGAGAGCTCTAATTCAGAGGAAGAAAAAGATGATGATCCATTAGTCCCAGATAGCAAACAGGGGAAACCACAGTCAGCAACAGATTATAGTGACCCGGACAATGTAGATGACGGTCTTTTGATTGTAGACATCCCTAAAACAAATAATGACAAAGGCCCAGAAGTAAACACAGAACTTCACATTAAAGGAAAAGGGTGGAAAGTTCAGGAATCCAAGAAGGGCCTGGTCCAAGATGAGACAGAATTAGAGGATGAAAAGCAAGAAGGGATGACTGTGTACAGCTGTACTCACAGCGATAACCTCAGCTCTATGCCGGCTGATGAAAAGGGCAAAGACACATTAAAATTAGCCTTCAACAATAAAGAAAATGACCTAAAAGGAACAGTTATTCATATCTCAAAAGGAATTCCCCACGAAGAAAAGCCTGGAGAGCAGATTTTGGAAGGTGGCTTAGAGAGTGAATCTGCACAGAAAGCTGCAGGGAATGAAATGAATGAAAGAAAGATTCAACATGAATCCTTGGGTAGTGCACCAGTCACAGGAGATAACCACCCTAATGCATCCAGAGACAGGGTGGAGGGAGACCCTTCAGTAAATGGAGCCAAACCACACCCACTTCCAGTGGAGCATCAACGTGAGGAATTTAAAGAGGAACTAGTGCTTAAAACTCAAAACCAACCTAGATTCTCCTCTCCAGATGAGACTGGTTTGCCCAGAGAACTGGAGGAAAAGTTTCCCATCCTGGGAAGAAATCTTTCTTGGTAACAAGAAAGAGATGTGGCTGCCACAGTCAATAAGCAACTAAGTGAGAAGATAAGGCTCTCCGAGGGCGGGGGCCAAAGAGGACTCCTCAGATGAGGAGGTTTTTCTTCACAAGGCAATGCAGGGCACACAAGAAGTAGGACAGACATACCAATCTGAGCACATGAGAACCAGCTTTCCTTTCAGAAGCAGTAGAGGATGAGTATCCCCCTGAAGAACTACTGGAGGATGAAAATGCTAGAAGTGCAAAACGGTCTAAAGAAGAAGACCCTGGAATTCAGGGCAGGCAGTTTGATGTTAATCTACAAGTCCCTGAAAGAGCAGTTTTGGGGACCACTAATCCTGATGCAGAAATTGAAGAAAGCAAGCAAGAAACTAGTAAGATTTTGGATAGTGAAGAAAAGCGTGAGACTGCAGCCAAAGGAGTCAACGCAGGGGGCAGGGAACCATATACAAAGGTGGAAACAGAACGCCCTCCCGCAGACGAGAAAGCACACGGACCATCTGAAGGAAGTGACTTTTCTGACCGCATAAAGACTCAGACTCCAGAGTTAGGTGAAGTGTTTCCGAATAAAGATCGACTATCTGAAGAACGACAACCCTGAGGACCATCTGAAGACCTCATGACTTTCAGAGAAGCCTGAGGGAGAACTCTCAAAGGAGGATCATGAGAATGCAGAGAAACACATGGGCACAGAAAGCCAGGGCTCTGCTGCCACAGACCTTGAAGGTGATTTGTTCGGTTGGACTCCCCGTACAACTGTAGAGCCAGAGTATAGTGACAAGAGGGAGGACTTGCCCATCATAAGCAGCTTCTTTAAAGAACAGCAGTCTTTGCGGTGGTTCCAGAAATACTTTAATGTCCATGAGCTGGAAGCCTTGCTACAAAAAATGTTATCAAAACTGAAGTCAGCACAGCAGGAGAGCCTGCCCTATAATGTGGAAAAGGTCCTAAATAAGGTCTTCTGTGATTCCAAGTCACAAATTCTGAGCATAGCAGAAAAAAAGCTTGATAACTTGTGTGGCTCAATATAGATATCTGGGGATGAAGGAAAATAACATATTCGAAGAGGCTGCAGTGCTTGATGACATTCAAGACCTCATCTATTTTGTCAGATACAAGCACTCCACAGCAGAGGAGACAGCCACTCTACTGGTGATGGCACCACCTCTAGAGGAAGGCTTGGGTGGAGCAATGGAAGGTGAGATACCTATGGCCTTGTAGATTTGGGCTGGAGAAGCAGGTGGAGCAGGGTTCGCTGAGGTGCCTTGTATCTTACTTGTAAAGCTCTGTTGAGTTTCCAGTATGCTTAAAGGAGGGACAACACAGGGAGGCCCACATATTCCTTCCTGCCTTCTTTTAGGCTGCAGCATGGAGGAGGATTTCTTGCTATTATTCTTGGAATAGTTGAGACTGGTTAGCATTTTCAAAAGGAAACTTTATAAAAAGTTAAAGAGAAAGATATAAACCAGAAAGTAATTTACAAAATACAGATGTCATGTAAAATTATGAAAGGATTTTATTGAACACAGTTTTTCAATCATAAGATAACTGCTCTCTAACCATGGATTGGTATAACTTTTAGATCAATGCCTTGGCTGAATTCCTATGTTCTCTCCAGGTTTATCTTTTGTGGATGGCTTGTTGTTCCTGTTTCTTGGAAGTACTTACTCCGGTTAAACCCTCCTGGACCCTAAGGTTCTTGCATTCAGATTAATCAAGGTTGGGACAGGGATGGGACGCCTTCTAATGCAGCACTTGATGCGTGGAAACCATTCAGCTGCATTGACTCTGAGCCAATATCTTGACATAAGTGTTCTGATTTGTAGGTCCTTGTTCTATTCTCTGCATGCAGGTTTTTCTTTCCTTTCTTTCCCTTTTCCTGGCCACCCTCCCTTCCTTCCTCTTTCTCTTTCTTTTTTTTTCTTCTTCAGACAGGATATCACTCTGTCACCCAGGCTGGAGTGCAGTGGCATGATCATAGCTCATTGCAGCTTCTAACTCCTAGGGGCTCAAGTGAACCTTCCACCTCAGCCTCCCAAGCGGCTAGGACTACAGGCATGCATCACTGTACCCAACTAATTTTTTATTTATTGTAGAGACAGGGTCTCGATATGTTGCCCAGGCCAATCTTGCCCTTTTGGCCTCAAGTGACCTTCCTACTTTGGCCTCTCAGAGTACTGAGATTACATGTGTGAGCTACTGCACCTGGTGTATCCAGGCTTTTCAGACAGATGTATCTGAATCAAGAGCACCAGGGGGACAGAAAGCCAAAGGCAAATGTATTTCCCCAGAGTGCTAATTTTTCCTGAGACTTGTGGGGAGGAGAACTCTTTTTGCATTTAATTAAAATATGTTTTGGATGAGAATGCAAAATTCAGGTGAATTTTCAGGGTAAAATAGGAGACTAAAAAGAAATTCACCTTTGCTGTGGATCACATTGGACTGTCCCCTGAGCCTCTTAGGGAAGGAGATGGGTTCGCTTCCTTTGACTCTTTGAGGTACTTTGAAAGTATTCGAAAGACATTTCAGCAAGCTGCTCTGCCGTGGCATGTCCCTGTCTGTACTAGTTCAGTAAGAAAAAGCATGCTTGTGTGTGCAAGAGTTCAGTTACTTCTCTGCAGAAGAGAGGTTTCACATTTCTGCTCTTAAATGGAATTCTCTTTGCACATTTATTTGTGTGGGCATAGGTGAGTTTGCCAAGGAAAGATGTTACTAAAGTCCCTGCCATAAAGATATTTATTTATGAAATACTCCTCTGTAGATTTTATTATGTAGATTAGTCATCCTTTAAATGGAATAAACGAAACTGAAATTCTTATTTCCCTGCCCAGTTGTGCTCCATGGGATGCCTGTGCATGGAGGGCAATGTTCAGGTGCCCTGGAGCTGGTATGGTCAGTGGGATTAGCCAAACATGTAGTGTCATCAAGCTGTGCTAGCCCAATGCATTCTTCTCACCTGTAGAGATGCAACCACCGCATGAAGATAACGTGTCACAAGAGAACACAACAGAACTGAACATGCAGGTTCCTGAAGAGCCACCACAGGACCAACCTGTGATGAGGGACACTCATGCCTCAGAAATGTCCCCGAAGCCACATACTGAGAAAGACTTGGACCCAGGTAAAGCTTGCTGATTTTTTTCTATGAAGTGGAGACATCATAAAGGACTTCTAGGAGATTCATTGTCAGGTAGTAGCTAGAGACATGTTAAACTCAAAGGAAAAGCGGATCCCAGAGATAACTGAGAGAAAAGCAGGCGTTAAGACAGACGGAGATCAAAAATAGGAAAGACACCAGAGACTGTAACTAACCTACAAACCAGTGTTTGGCTGTCACTATCTTGTGTAAATTATTTCAATCTAAAATATTATTCTTCAAAGGCCTTATGCTCTAAAACAGTAGTTTTCAACAAGACCGACAGCATCAGAAACTCTGGGGATGGGACCAGCAGTCTGTGTTTGACAAAATACTGATTGATTATCCCTCCAGGAAAGACTGACCTGATGCAAATTAGCAGTGGTTGGAGAACCACTGCTCTAAAACTCACAAATTCTGTTTTCCTTCTACTCTACCCCCTCTCTTTCCAAATAGAGTACCGTGCAATGCAGATCTCTCTCTCTCTTTTTTTTTTTTCTATCTGGATATGGTAAATAAAACTTCTTAAAATACAGTGAAGGGGTCCAGGTATGCTTATACCATAAGCTTATAGGAGACAGTACGGACACTGAAGTGTGTAATAGTCCAGGGCAAACTGACATGAAGAGTATTTCACCATAGTGCTCGGGCAACATCAGGTGAGAGATGGGAAAGTTTACTTTCCAGGCACAGTGCCTAACATTTAGTTGATACTCAGTAAGTATTTTTTTTAAAACGAGAAACAATTCTTATTCTAAAGCACAGAATATCTTTTTCCTCCCAGTTCTAGGGCCCATTACAACAGAAGACCCTCTACGGATGGTGTTGAAGCAAACAAGCAACTGGAGATGGTTGCCGAAGAGCCAGCAAGCGTCCCACCTTTGGAAAAGACAATCCTTCTAATCTATTCATTCACGTTTTATTTAACTAAGTTGGTAAGTTTGACACATAGGGCTTTTTCTTTTTTTAGCTAAAATGTTGATTATTACAGTTTCTAAGTTGATTTTGAGCATGAGGTGAATGACTTAAAATGTGTTTATGAAGATGACTCCTGATTCTGTGTTTATGAAGAGAGATCCTGAAATGAGCCACAGGTGTGTGGCTTTAATAGGGACTTAGTTCAGCACATGAGCAGGCTTTACTACAGGCCCGAGCTGGGCACAGGCACATCTGTCAAATGCGGTTCTTCTCTTCAGGATCCTTTCAGTCTAGCCAGGAGAGAAAGACATTCACTTGAAATGTACTACGATAATGAGCAGGAAGAGAAGTATTTACCTGATGGTAGCACAATCTATGGCATAAATTGGTTCACTGTGGTGGGAGAGTGATATGAAAGGCCAGAAGTTTACTGAGAGATGCTTTAAGCCAGTCGAAAGACAGATGGGAGCTTGACTTGGAGTTGCCAAATGGAAGGGCTGGGGAGGGAGATGGGCAGGGGGGCGGGCACCATGCAGTCAGGCAGAAAAAATAACACATTCAGAGAAGTGAAGGTATGAAGGAAAGGTTATTTGGGGAAGCCAGGGAAGCGTGAGTAGTTGGTGTTAATTCTTTTTTTCCTTTTTTTTTTTGAGACAGGGTTTTGTTCTGTCGTCCAGGTTGGAGTGCAGTAGCGTGATCTCAACTCACTGCAGCCTCTGCCTCCTGGGCTCAAGTGATCCTCCTGCCTCAGTCCACTTAGTGGCTGGGATCACAAGTGTGCACCACCACGCCTGGCTTTTTTTTTTTTTGTATTTTTAGTAGAGGTGGGGTTCCACAATGTTGCCCAGGCTGGTCTCAAAGTCCTTAGCCCATGGGAGCCATTGACCATGGTCTTCCAAAGTGCTGGGATTACAGGCGTGAGCCACTGTTCTTGACCAGTTGGTGCTGTTAAAGTGTGGAGTTAAGATTAGCTGGGCATGGTGATGTGCACCTGTAATTCTGGCTACTTGGGAGGCTGAGGCAGGGGAATTGCTTGAGCCCAGGAGGCAGAGGTTGCAGTTAGCAGAGATTGTGCCACCACGCTCCAGCCTGGACAACAGAGCAAGACCCTGTCTCTGAAAAAATACAAATTAAAAAGTATGGAGCTAAGGGGAAAGGTCTGTTGGAGGGACACAGGAGAAGTCAGAAAATTGTGTGCCATGGTGAGTGGTCAGATCATTGTTGGCAGAGATCCTTGGAAGATTTTAAGCAGGAAAGGGGTTGTCGGGTCTATTTCTTAGAAAGAGTCAGGAGGCTGAGGCAGGAGAATTGCCTGAACCCAGGAGGCGGAGGTTGCGGTGAGCCGAGATCGCGCCATTGCACTCCAGCCTGGGTAACAAGAGCGAAACTCCGTCTCAAAAAAATAAAAATAAAAATAAAAAATAAAAAAATAGAAAGAGTCACTTATGGCAGAATATTTATTCAAATCTTTCTAAGAGAGCCATGCTTGAAATGAGACATTTAATGTCTCATTAAGGACTTAAATGTCTCATTAAGGACTTTTTTAGGACTTAAAAAGCCTAGATAAGCTTTTTTCTCTTGGTGAGTTAGAGGAATAAGCAAGCTCTCGAAGTTGGAGGCCAGGTTGCCCTTAGAGCTGCAGAGAAAGCATGCTCCTCACCAAAGCAGTTTTGTCTAGGTCCTGTTATTTCAAGACTCAAATAGGAAAGAGGGTTTTTGTTGTTTTTCTGTTAAAATGCATGGGTTTCAAGCCAGGATGATTTGCTTTCAAATCCTAAAGCCATTACTTAGAGGTTTAGGACAAATTACTAAACTTTGAACCTGAACTTTCTCATCTGAAAAATACCTACTCCAATTGTTGGTAAGAATTAAATGATTTAATAATGCAAAATGTCTGATATAGTATTTGGCATTTTAAGATCTTATACCTCACCCAATTCTCATTTGGATGGTCAGAGGGCATATAAAGACATTGAATACCTGGGGATTTCAGGAGAAAGACCACCAGAATGGAAAACAAGTAGGAGAACCAAACCGTTTTTCAGTATTCTCCATGGTCGTGGTGGTGAAGATGTGTATTATCTGTGCAATTGGGTAATGAAATTTTCAGTGATTAAGACCATCTCAGAATTCAGAATTTGGTTTTCAGAATGAAATTATCACTTGAAAAGTTTAATAGCCCTCCAGTTGTGGAAGGAATTCTTTATTCATTGTATTTCTACATAGCCACAGAGCCCTCTTCTAGGCCTGGATTGGGGGGATAGGAGTGGTGTGGGATATGATCTGTGATTAGGGGCTAACAAGGAAAGATAGACATGAATGGCAAGATAGAAGGGAGCAGAGTTATAAGTTGCTGACTTGAGAGGGATTGTCAAAAGAGGATTTTGATGGCTAAATATGTACCAGAAATTGCTAGGCATAAAAGATTCTAAGAGATATAAAGTGCAATTCCAACTTTTGAAAGGCTTAAAAAAAGGTTTACCAAATATATGTGAAAATTGGAGAAAATGGAAGATATATAAAATATGTGAAGTATTAAGTAGTTTATATATATAATTATTTGATAGGGTTGGGGAGTCATGGGGTGCTGACTTTATTGGGAAAACTACACCAGAGGTCAGACTCATAGATCAATAGTTGATTAATAGTTAGTGGAATTTTAGGGTTGGAAGAAACCTTAGAGGCCTACTAGTCTAACTTCTCAGTAATCGTAGCAATTCCCCTTTTTTTTTCTACAGTGGGGTCTCACTCTGTTGCCTAGGCTGAAGTGCAATAGTGTGATCATGACTCACTGCATTCTCCACCTCCCTGAGCACAGGTGGTCCTTCCACCTCAGCCTCCTGAGTAGCTGGGACTGTAGATGTGCGCTACCACTCATAGCTAATTTTTAGTGTTTTTTTGTACAGACAGGGTTTCGCCATGTTTCTCAGTCTGGTTTCAAAATCCCAGGCTCAAGTAATTTGCCCGCCTCAGCCTCCCTAAGTGTTGAGATTACAGACGTGAGCCACCATGCCTGGCCAATTATTCTTATTGATGATGGATTTCTCCCATTTTTGAATGGACGCCTGTTCAGCTTGTTCCTGGGCCCGTTTGACACCCCTAGTGGTCATTGCTACTTTCCATGCTTTCTGTTAACAGTATGACAAGATGTTCCAAGCACATCTTGTACATTTCCTGCCCAAATCTTGAAGGAACTATTTCTCCAAACAATTTTGGGTTTTTTAAATGAGAGACGCTATTTAGAGATTACATTCTAGGTACTAAGATTGCTTATTGCTTATGAGTTAGCCGTGACTTCTAGGACTTTTCAGAGGACAAAGCTAGGAAGTATGTGATGGTTTTTTATGTGAATATTCATTATAATGTCATATGGATAATTCCAGTAGAAAGTAAGGATGCTAGACAAACTTTTCTCACTTCATCGATCTTAAATTTGTATCTTGTTTCTTCAGTGTTTGAAATCTCAGTTTCACAGGAGCATAGTGTTTTTATTTTACAGTATTAATACAACAATATTAAAAACACAAACACTAACACTGCCACCAATAATACGTTACTGAAAATATCTTAATGTTTTGCAGTCTTTTTGTCTTTAAGCTAAATCCCACTAGGCTGTGTTTGAACTAATTCCTTTCTGTGTCCTTCCACCAAGTCAATACATGGGTTAATTTATTTTTTGTTTCAATTTTTAGGGATTGCCCTTTAAGATATTTTTGCTTTACAATTATCTAACACAGGGGTGTCCAATCTTTTGGCTTCTCTGGGCCACATTAGAAGAAGGAGAATTGCCTTGAGCCACACATAAAATACACTAACTGATGAGCTAAAACAAAACAAAACAAAACAAAAAAAAACTCATAATGTTTTAAAAAGGTTTATGAATTTGCCTCAGGCTGCATTCAAAGCTGTCCTGGGCTGCATGTGGCCTGCGGGCTGTGGATTGGACAAGCTTGATCTAACATATTTACAAGATCCAAAGTCAATTTGTAAAACAAGATCTGTTCGGAGAACTCTAGCTTTTGTTTCAGTTCCATCCACCCTGTCATTTTCCTCCTCTATAAGAAACTTTATTTTGTTATTTCTCCTACCATTAAGAAATAAGCAAATGATTTGCACATCCATTCATGATGGCATTATAGGGTCAGCTTTACTCTCCCAACTGAAACAATTTAAAAAAACCAGACAAAATAAATGAAACAATATTTTTCAAGACATTGAACATCAGGCAACAAAGGACAGTAAGTCTTGAAAGAGAAGGAACATACGCCAGGAGCTCTCCGGTTGTCCCAGATCACTTCATCAAGAGCGTTCAGGCCATGGCATAGAAAGAGAGAACCCAAGTGGAGCCCAATGGACACCCTGAGTTGAGGAGATGGTACTGGGAGTCCAAAGATACCCAGGTAGCTAGAGTTCACAGGGCGGAGTAGCAAGAAGAGAGAGCTATGCAGAGAGAGAACTCTGGGAGTCTGTGAAGGTTCCCCTGAGAGTATTCAGCAGAATACTGATTGGCACATGAGTGTAACAGAACTACTCACAGTCAACAGAAATCATCTAAGTGATCAGAGGGAATGGTTTTTGACACAGAGCTAGAAGTAGTGCCTGGAAAACCTAATAATTGTGGAGAGATCCAGAGTACTCAGAAGGGTCTTGCCTCTGACTAAATGCTACTAATGTCTTGCTTGACAAATCTTAAGACTGTAAACCAAACTGTTTCCAAGTAACTGAATTACATCCTAGTGCAAAGCTCAAGGATATATGTTCATAAGCATGACATCCATTCAAAGATTATCAGGCATGCAAAGAAGCAAGAAAATATAAACCAGGATGAGGAGAAAAATCAACCATCAAAGCCAACCAAGAACTGCCAGAGATGTTAGATTTAGGCAAGGGTATTAAATCAGTGACTATTCCTGTAATTCAGGTGTTTATAAAGTAAGGAGAGACAGCCGGGCACGGTGGCTCACGCCTGTAATCCCAGCATTTTGGGAGGCTGAGGAGGGCAAATCATGAGGTCAGAAGTTCGAGGCCAGCCTTGCCAACACAGTGAAACCCTATCTCTACTAAAAATACAAAAATTAGCCAGATGTGGTGGCATGTGCCTGTAGGCCCAGCTACTCGGGAGGCTGAGGTGGCAGAATCATTTGAACCTGAGAGGCGGAGGTTGCAGTGAGCTGAGACTGTGCCACTGCACTCCAGCCTGCAGAGTGAAACTCCGTCTCAAAAAAAAAAGACATTTTACATAGAGAGGAAGCATGACACAAATGACATTAGACTTCAATAATAAGGCATGAGAGCATACAATGGAGTAATAGTTTCCAAGCTACTTAGGAGGCTGAGGCAGGAGAATTGCCTGAACCCAGGAGGCGGACGTTGCGGTGAGCTGAGATTGCGCCATTGCGCTCCAGCCTGGGTAACAAAAGCGAAACTGTCTCAAATATATATACATTCATATATATATATATATACTTGAAGAGCAATATTGTTAACCTGCAACATCAAACTCAGCAAATACCTTTCAAAACCAAAGGTGAAATGAAGACCTTTCTTGACACCGACATACAAGAGCTGAAAGAATTCACCAATATGTTTGCACCATAAGAAATGTTAAAGGAAGTCCTTTAGGCATATGGAAAATGACAACAGATGGAAATAATGGAACTACACAAAGGAGTGAAGAATGGCAGGTGATCGAACACTCCACACAGGAAGAGCATTTACCAAAGTAAACTATATTCTCAGCCATGAAACAAGTCTTGATGAATATAAAATGATTCAAGTAGTATAAAGTGTGTTCTCTTCACAGTATAATTAGGTTAGAAATCGATAATGGAAATATCTGGAAAATCTCCAAATATTTGGAAACTATATGGCACACTTCTTTCTGAACATCTTATGAGTTTAAAAGGAAAAGGATAAATTATTATTTTGAGATAAATGAAAATGAAAACAGGTGAGGAACAGGCTCATGCCTGTCATCTTAGCACTTTGGAAGGCTGAGGCAGGAGGATCCCTTGGGGCCCAGAACTTCAAGACCAGCCTGAACAACATATTGAAAGCCTATTTCTACAACACACACACACACACACACACAAACACACACACACACGGTTAGGCATGGTGGCATGTGCCTGTAGTCCCAGCTACTCAGGAGGCTGAAGTGAGAGTATTGCTTGAGCCCAGAAAGTTGAGGCTGTAGTGAGCAGAGATTGCACCACTGCACTCCAGCCTGGGTGACAGAATGAGACCTTGTCTCAAGAAAAGAAAAAAATAAATAAAATGAAAACAAATATGTCGAATATGTACAGTGTCGCCAAAGCACTAGTGGGAAATGTATAGCACTACCTTAATTAGGGAAAAAAAGGTCTTAATAAGTGACTTTGTTTTCCACCATAAGAGACTAGAAAAAGAAGAGCAAACTAATCCTCAATTAAGCAGAAGAAAAGAAATAATGAAGACAAGAGCATAATTCAATGAAATAGAAAACAAAAGGAAAAGAGAGAAAATCCTTGTAACCAAAACCTGTTCTTTGAGATTAATAGCCAGAGTGAACGGGGAAAGAAGGGATACAGATACCAATAGCAGCAATCAGGAAGACATCACCACAGATTCTTCAGATGTTAGAATGATAATAAGGGAATATTACGAGTAACTTATGTCAACTAATTTCACAGTTTAGATGAAGAAATTCTAAGACACAGACTGCAAAAGCTCTTTCAGGAAGAAACAGATAACCTTATGACTATTAAATAAATTGCATTTGGCTGGGTGTGGTGGCTCACGCCTGTAATTCCAGCACTTTGGGAGGCCAAGGTGGGTAGATCACGAGGTCAGGAGTTTGAGACCAGCCTGACCAACATGGTGAAACCCTGTCTCTACTAAAAATACAAAAATTAGCCAGGTGTGGTGGCACACACCTGTAATCCTAGCTACTCGGGAGGCTGAGGCAGGAGAATCGTTCAAACCTGGGAGGCGGAGGTTGTAGTGAGCCGAGATCATGCCACTGCACTCTATCCTGAGCAACAGAGCGAGACTCTGTCTCAAAAAGATGAATAAATACATTGGATTTATAGCTAAAAACCTTTCCACAAAGGAAGCCCCAGGCCCAGATGGCTTCACTGCTGAATTGTATTAACCTTATGAGGAAGAAATAATACGAATGCTACACAAACTCTTCTATTAAACAAGAGCAGAAAATAACTTCCCAGATCATTTATGAAGCTAATATTACCAGGATATCCAAACAAGGCAAAGACAAGGCAGGGCAGAAAGACCGCGCAGGGCAATGGCACCACATCTGAGTAGTGGTCCTTCTACGCTGTGACAGGAAGGGCCAGCTCCGGGCTGGCACGAGAGGCCTGCCTTTCTCCATTTACCCAGCTGCCGCCCACAATCCCCCTCTGGGTAGCTCCCTGGCCTCCTAGCTCCGGGCTTTTTAAATCGCGGGTTCCTGGAGGAAGCGCCAGTCACCCCCGCCCCTCTTTACTTGGATTCTTCCGCTCCAGCTCTATTTGTTCTTTTCCCCCCGCTCCCTCGACGGTTGGTTCCGTCCACTCTAGCCCCGCCCCCACGGGCCCGCTCCTTAGGTGCGGTAACGTGCGCCAGGGGGCAGTGGCTGATGACGTGTTTTATAGAAGGCCTAAAGCGAAAGTGCCGGCAGCTGCGGAAGGCGAAGTTTAATCCCACTATCCGCCCCCTGAAATGGAGCCTTTCCGAAGGAGAAAGCTCTGAAACACAGGGGCCCAGTGCCGTTCCGCAGGGACGTGTCGCTTGTTGTTCAGCTGTTCTACACAATGGACTCAGTACCTGCCACGGTATCTTCTATCCCCGCTACTCCGGGGGACCTGGAACTTCTGGGACCCCTGTCGGTGCTCTATGCAGCCTTCATAGCCAAGCTGCTGGAGGTGACAGTCCCCATTCCCATGGAGGGACCCCACCTTTGGCAGGCGGGTGGATGAATTCTAAGCAGAGTGGGTGCACCGATTGTCTATGCAAAGGAGAAACGGAGTGTCAGATCCGAGGACGTTTTATGCTGTTTAGGGAGTCAGGTGGAAGTGTGTTTGAGGTTTCGTCACTTTTTTTTTTTTTAGTTGAGTACTTAACGAAATGACAGCACTTTATGTTCTGGTGTACAGTCATGATCAAAACACAGCCTACAGGTCTTTTCACTATAACCCCGGCACTATTGGGAGATGGGGCCAGTATGATAGTGTACTTGCAGAGGACCGTGAAACAGCATAGAGCAGACAGGTGTTTAATGTACTGTCTTCAAGGAAACATTTAGAATTAAGGCACTAAATTCAAAGCGGTTTATGTAGATCAGTTATCAGGAGCTATCATAATTTACTCAGCATTTGTTCTTTGTTTATGTAAGAGTTGATTTAAGATTGTAAATCTTAGAGGAATAGCACTTCTTTGTGGTATTCATTATCATAATATTGGTTTTATTTTTAGCCATAAAAAGTTGATCACTTGTATATCTAAGGTTTTTTGTCTTATGTGTTTTCTTAAACAACAAAACCCAACTTATTCAAGAGAAAAGTATGATCCAGAGAGATTCTAGCCATGTTTTAGATAACATATTGTATCAGGGCCTATTGCAAACTAGAAATACATGCTCAACCTAAAGACATTTAGACTCATAATACTTTGAAACACTACAAGCCAAACACTAAGTATGAGACTCCCAGTGTCCTATTTTTCTTGAAGCAGTGAGAGCTATGGAAGATATTTGAGGGGATAGGTATCTGACAGAGTTGTTTTAGAGTTTCTATGGATGAGTCTTTGTGACTGCTTTATGTTGTTTCTTTAAGGTTTCTCATTATTTCTAATATGCCGTTTTCAGCTAGTTTCTACATTGCCCGATGATGTTCAGCCTGGGCCTGATTTTTATGGACTGCCATGGAAACCTGTTCTTATCACTGCCTTCTTGGGAATTGCTTCAGTTGCTGTTGTCTTCTGGAGAACTATCCTTGTTGTGAGTAAATTAATGTATACTATATCTCATAAATTCAAGTATGGTTTTATAATCATAGCCCTTTTGTTTCTTTTTTAGTTACTAACATGAACGGAAATTAACGCTTTTAATTCAAGCTAACCCTGTAAAATAATTTGGTGTAATTTTTGTCTTGGTAAATTGTCTTTTTTTTTTTTTTTTGAGACAGAGTCTTGCTCTGTCCTCCAGGCACCTCTTGGTTCACTGCAACCTCCGTCTCCCGGGTTCAAGCAATTCTCTGCCTCAGCCTTCTGAGTAGCTGGGATTATTGGCGCCCACCACCATTCCCAGCTAATTTTTTTTTTTTTTCGTATTTTTAGTAGAGATGGGGTTTCACCATCTTGGCCAAGCTGGTCTTGAACTCCTGACCTTGTGATCCAGCTGCCTCGGCCTCCCAAAGTGCTGGGATTAGGGGTGTGAGTCACTGCAGTCGGCCAATGTGTTGATAAATTCTTAAGTAAACAAGATAACATGTATAATCTGGATGGGAAAATTTCAATTTATATGTCCCTTATATCAAAATTTAAATAATAAGAATTAGTTGGGTCTTTATCTCCACTCAGAAAGGAAAAAAAAACAATTGGATAGGTCATTTGTACACTGTTAGTAGAATTGGGAATTCTTAGAGCCATCCTGAAAAGTAGTTTCATGATGTGTGTCAGAAGTCTTAAAAATGGTTATCTCCTTATATATTGTATTACTATCTATGTCTAGTAATCTATCCAAAAGAAATAACTAGTCGGCCGGGCATGGTGGCTCATACCTCTAATCTCAGCACTTTGGGAGTCCAAGGCAGACAGATCACTGAGGCGATGATTTTGAGACCAGCCTGGCCAACATGATGAAACTTCATCTCTACTAAAAATTAAAAAATTAGCTGGTGTCATGACACACGCCTGTAATTCCAGCTACTTGAGAGGCTGAGGCAGAGAATCACTTGAACCTGGGAGGTGGAGGCTGCAGTGAGGCCAGATGTGCTACTGTACTCCAGCCTAGGCCACAGAGTTTGACTCCATCTCCAATAAATAAATAGAAAAGAAAAGAAATAACCAGTCATACATTAAATATCTTGCATGGCTGGGCCTGGTAGCTCATACCCGTAATCCTAGTATTTTGCGAGGCTGAGGCAGGTGGATCACATGAGGCTAGGAGTTTGCGACCAGCCTGGGTGACAAGATGAAACCCCATCTCTACTAAAAATACAAAAATTTGCTAGGTGTGGTGGCAGAAGCTCGTAATCCCAGCTACTCTGGAAGCTGAGGCAGGAGAATCGCTTGAACTGGGGAGGCAGATTGTGCCACTGCACTCCAGCGTGGACAACAGAGTGAGAATCTGTATCCAAAAAAAAGTTATAAATATCTTACATAAGAGCATTCAATGGAACAGTATTTATTAGAGTGAAAACTTTGCACAACATACTGTGATTCACAGTAGGAAAATTGTTAAATTATTTTATGTTCATATAATGGGATATTAGTCTGCTTTATATAATTCAAAAGCAGGAGCACAACAAATACTCACAATTTAACATGAAGTAGAAAAAAAGTAGAAACTAAGCCTTTAAGGTGTAGATAAACTGTTGTAAATATACACACAGAAAATAAATGCTGCAAGGAAATACAACAAAATGATAAAAATTCTTTTATCTAGATGAGGTAAGTTTTCAGTTTTTAAAAGATGTGTGTTTCTGATTTGATTATGTACTATTTTACTCAAAATATTTTTTATTTGGAGATACAGATTATATCATGTGCAAAGACACACCATTAATTTTTTTTAATCTTTTAGTCTGTGCAGAATTTATCTTTCAGACTTAAACATATGTACGTATAAGTGTATATACTCATACTTGTACCTACTTATGATTATACTGTATTGCATTTAGCTTAACATATTTGGGAGAATATGTTATTTAACATAATTAGGAGATTATTTTGTATAAATGAGCTTTGCAGATATGAAAAGCTTTCAACTGAAATTTAACAGTTAAAATGGCCAAAATAATTGAATGCAAATCTTTCTAAAACTAAGTATTCTTCTTCTGATTTTATAATTATATCACATATATCATCGTTAATAATTTTTCTCTGCTTTCACAGTTGATTGTAAAATCACTTATAAAGAAGGGTCTTTTTTCCTGTGAGGCTTTCTCAAACCTCATGGGCCTTTTTCTCAGATAAAAAGGGAGAATCGAAGGGTAAATGGAAGGGGAAAAGGTGAAAACATTTTACATTTCCCACTCTTGTTTCTCCTATTTATTAATAAAAAAAACTAACACCTTTTTTGTTTTTCAGAAAGTTATATAGGCTCTGTGTCCTAACTGCTGTTTCTCAGCCTCAGCATTTGAGTTTTGGAACCTTGGTCTCTGCTTGCTTGTTAGTTTGGGTGAAATGGAGCACAGGAAGTTTACTCTCATTAGCAAGGCCATTAGAGAGAGAGAGTATTTTCTTTCCATCTTGGAAATTTCTGAATTATTATGTGTACAGTATATTAATTGCTATATATAATAACAGTATATTATACAGTGTATTATATAAACAGTATATTAATTTAGTGAGATTATTATGGGTGACTTGTGAACTGGTGTTAGTATTTCATTACCATTTATAACATTTGAAAGGGATAAATATGTTCTGGGTTGCAAAGAAATTTAGTAATATTCTTTTTTAAAAATTAGTTACTGGGAGACTGAGGCAGGAGAACTGCCTCCTGAACCCAGGAGGCGGAGGTTGCAGTGAGCCAAGATCGCGCCATTGCACTCCAGCCTGGGTAACAAGAGTGAAACTCTGTCTCAGAAAAAACAAAAACAAAAAAATTAGTTACTCCTTGGCTTTTATTGTCCCATAATTTAGTGCTGTCTTTGGGGGATGATTTGGGTTTTGCCCTTTCAGGAAGATGATAGTTGTCATTTATCTTGTTGCCTGTGCATTTTCCTCTAGCAATTTTCGCTTCCCTGTCAGGTTCATGAGCACTGTTTTTAGTGGTCTAAGAAAGTCAAATGATCTACCTTAGTGTTAATAGAATTGTTTCTAAATTCAGCCAGTAGTCAACTTTGAACAGGATTTCTTTTTTTTTTTTGAGACGGAGTTTTGCTCTTGTTACCCAGGCTGGAGTGCAATGGTGCGATCTTGGCTCACCGCAACCTCCGCCTCCTGGGTTCAAGCAATTCTCCTGCCTCAACCTCCTGAGTAGCTGGGATTACAGGCGTGTGCCACCGTGCCCAGCTAATTTTTTTGTATTTTTAGTAGAGACGGGGTTTCACCATGTTGACCAGGATGGTCTTGATCTCTTGACCTCGTGATCCCGCCTCGGCCTCCCAAAGTGCTGGGATTACAGGCGTGCCCGGCCTTGAACAGGATTTCTCAGATATTTTCTGGAAAGCAAAAGAGGTGTATTTTAGTATAAAGATTATACCTTTAATTTTGTTTCCTCAGAGTCTTTTTGAGTAGTCAATGTTTTTAGATTTCATTCTGGCTCTTTGGAGTTGTCAAATAAGTGACTTTGAGAAAATAAAATGTTAATATATTTATTATAAAAATATTAGCCATTTCTGTTATTCAAGTTAAGTGCTCATTTCATATGACTGGTTTTCATTTAGATATGTAAACATATCTTTAGCTGCAGAGTAAGATATTTATCTTAGTGCTTTATCTGTCAGACTGCAACATATCACTACTGGTTAAATTTGAAATGCTTTTGTAACCTTTTTAAATGTTTTAATCTTGTGGATTTATTATGCTAAAGCAAACTTATTAAATTCTCATTTGGTTACAATTCCAACTGTTGTGTTAGGAACTATATACACCTATTAATGAAATGTTTGACATAAAATTTCATTTCTATTTGTCCTTTCTAGGTGAAGAATAGAGTATATCAAGGTAAATCTTTAGGCTTGTTTTGTTATTTGTACTATTCCCTCTATATTGGTGTTTGATATGGGTTTTATATGTAAGTAGTTTTAGTGACTTCTGATGTCTGACTGACTTACAGCTTATGAAAACTCTCCTCTTCCTAGGTTGCTAGCTTGGATGATAGAATAAATGGTGATGCTACCAACTGAGACAGGAGATGAGGAGGAACAAATTGTGGGAGTAGGGAGAAGATTAGTTTCATTGGGGGCAGATTTACCTTAAACATTGATGTACTAGTTTATTACATGTGACCAGTTTTTCTGTCCTAATGATTTAGTATATTAAATATTTATTTAAGTAATAATAATTTCAGGACTAGAAATATAAATCAGCATGCTTGCATTTTCTGTTTCTCTTTGCCAATGACATATTTGAAGCAATGCCATTTTCTGAGAAGAAAAAATGCTTCATGCAGGGAGGAATATTGACCTATAACATTTTACTGTGTTTCCCATCTTGGAAATAAATTTAAATTAGACTCTCATTGAAATAAAGGTTCTTATTATATTTTTCTTAAATTGTAACAATATTTTTACATTCTTATTCCTATTAGCAGATTGCCTTTTGTATTAATCTGTTCTCATACTGCTGTAAAGAAATAACCCAAGGCCAGGTGGGATGGCTCATGCCTGTAATCCCAACACTTTGGGAGGCCGAGGCAGGAGGATTGCTTGAGCTCAGGAGTTTGAGACCAGCCTGGGCAACATGGAGAAACCCCATATCTATATTAAAAAAAAAATACAAAAATTAGCCGGGTGTGGTGGCACACACCTGTGGTCTCAGGTACTTGAAAGTCTGAGACAGGAAAATTGCTTGAGCTCGGGAGGTGGAGTTTGCAGTGAGCTGAGATTATGCCACTGAACTCCAGCCTGGGCAACAGACTGAGACCCTGTCTCAAAAAAAACAAATACCTGAGACTGGGTAATGTATGAGAAAGAGGTTTAATTAGCTCATAATTCTGCAGGCTATACAGGAAACATAGTGGCATCTGCCTATGGGGAGGCCTCAGGGAGCTTTTACCCATAGCAGGAGGCAAAGCAAGAGCAGGCCGTCTTACATGGCAGGAGCAGGAGCAAGAGAGAGTGAGCGGGGAGGTGCTGCACACTTTTAAACAACCAGACTCTACAAGAACTCAGTCACTGTCCCAAGAACAGCACCACAGGGGTGGTGATAAACAACTCATGAGAAGTCACCCCTATGATCCAATCACCTCCCACCAGGCCCCAGCTCCAACACTGGGGACTATAATTTGACTTGAGATTTGGTGGGGACACAATCCAAACCATATCACATTTCAAAACCATAATAGTTATGCTAAGAAGTTCTTTTTCTTGTAGTGCCAGATAACATGTCTTTCTGCTGATACATTGGGTAATTCAGTTTCATTTAGTGATCATAATAACCTTACATATTTTCTTTTTTCAGTCACCGAACAGCAGATTTCTGAGAAATTGAAGATTATTACGAAAGAAAATACAGAACTTGAACAGAAATTGTCAAATTATGAACAGAAGGTATAATTATTGTTTTTTTTTTCCCCATGGTCCCAGCTTGAATGATTTTCACCTGTCTTATAGTTCAGTTACTATGGTATTTTGAAATAATATTTATTATTCCATTAATTCCTATAAACCATCCAGATCTTAAGCAATCATATATGTAAAGTGCTGTTTTCTTCTATTAGAGGTCAGTCACTTCAGAGTAAGTTCCAATAGCACATTACTGTGTTTTTCTGGATTCTGAATGCTTTATTATTTGTAGATCAAGGAATTAAAGAAACACATTCAAGAAACCAGGAAACAAAGAATGATTCTCCCTGGTAAAGCAATTAAATTTAAGGTAAAAACTTCTTTTGGGGATTACATTTTAAAATAAAAGTAAAAATTAATGAGTATAACTAATCTTAAAATCTTTTTTGTAGGATAAAATCGAGAAACTTGAAAAGGAAAAGGAAATTCTGGGTGACAAAGCTAAAAAACTTCGTGTTATGTTAGAATCTGCGAGAGAACAGAGTGTCAAGAATCAGGATTTGGTAAGAGTTTTGCTGCTAAGTGTTACTAATAATTTGGTTTTTGAACTCTGTAGATGGAGTTGAACTTTTTATTTTCCATGGTGTTCTGTGAAGTAAGAGTGCGAGTTAGGGAAGTTGAACCTACTTCTGTTCATTTTTGTGTAAGTACTTACACAAGAAGTTACTCTTATGGGCCTAGGAAGTATTTTGGTTCTCAACCCTAGGTAATTGTTGTATTGCTTGGTTCTGCCTCCAAAACGTGGGGTAACTAAGAAACCACAATCCAGTTGAACAATCCTTGGGTTTTTTTTTTGCAAAGTTTTTTTTTTTTCACTATAAGCATTTTACTTTATAATAGAATAGTTTCAGAATGACATAAAAATTGCAAAGATAGTAAAGAGGGTTCCCATAAATCCCACATCCTATTAATCTTGATGACCTCACTGAGCTTAGTATTGCAAGGTTCTTCACTGTAAAATTACTTTTTTTTTAACCTTTTGCATTATTGTACTCTTTGGAAGGAAGTTAGCAACACAGCGCACAGTTAAAAAGTGAAGGATTATGCCCCATGCCCTTGAGGAGCCAGGATCTTCATAAATGATTTGGAATTCTTGTATATGCATGGTCTGTCTATTCTCACTCCAATTCTACCATTTTTAATTTAGGCAAGAGAATTTTTAAAGTACCTTCATGATTTTTTTCTCTCTCTTGCCCCAAGGAAAAAAAAACACATTGATTTGAACTGGTTAACTTGAAAGTTTCTTCAATTTCTTTTCTTTCATCTTTTAGTCTCGCCGTCTACCACATTTTATTCTAACAAGGAAGGTTGTGTATGCCATGAAATATTTATGCCTTTGATTATTTTCCCTTACCTCTTTAAGATCTTGATTTTTCCCTAGGCCAAAACTGAAAAACCTGCATTTACCTGAAACACAGGATGGCTCTGGTATATACTTTGTTGATGTTTCCTCTTTTTAGTGTATATCCCAGTGTTTCTACTGAAATCCTAATATGCATTTTGTGTTCTGTTTTTACATGGCAAATATCAGAAAAGAAGAAATCTATTGAGAAGTTAAAAGATGTTATTTCCATGAATGCTTCAGAATTTTCGGAGGTAAAGCTAACTATAATTCCTGCAGGATATTAAAACCATATCATAGTTTTATTGAGGAGCAAAAATTTGACATGTGCTAAAATGTGCAAAAAATGAAAACTATGTGATGTTGGGTTGGGAAAGTAACTTTTTTTTTGTTTTCTTTGGAATTAATTCACTAATAGGAGTGTTTTGCATTAGGTTCAAATTGCACTTACTGAAGCTAAGCTTAGTGAAGAGAAGGTGAAGTCTGAATGCCATCGGGTTCAAGAAGAAAATGCTAGGCTTAAGAAGAAAAAAGAGCCGGTAAAGGAAAGTACATGCCCTGGGTCATGTAAAATAGAGAATCCAGTATCATATCACATGAATGCCTTTTTTCAGATCTATTTTTAAGGTAAGGTACATGCAGGATTCTGTTCTTAGATATGCCAAGTTTAAACTATACTTCCAAAATTGAGTATAGGTATACATTTTCTGTCTGTTCTGGATTTTCTGTACAATTTATTTTGCCTATCAGAGTGTTTAGCCTTGGTTTTTTGGTTTTTTTTCATTGCATTTTAGGTTTTGGGGTACATGTGCAGAACATGCAAGTTGCATAGGTACACACGTGGCAGTGTGATTTGCTGTCTTCCTCCCCTTCACCCACATCTGGCATTTCTCCCATGCTATCCCTCCCCAGCTCCCCGCCCTGGCTGTCCCTCCCCTGTTCCCCCTAATAGACCCCAGTGTGTAATGCTCCCCTCCCTGTGTCCATGTGTACTCATTGTTCATCACCTGCCTATGAGTGAGAATATGCGGTATTTCATTTTCTGTTCTTGTGTCAGTTTGCTGAGAATGATGTTCTCCAGATTCATCCATGTCCCTACAAAGGACATGAACTCATCGTTTTTGGTGGCTGCATAATATTCCATGGTGTATATGTGCCACATTTTTTCAGTCCAGTCTGTCATCAATGGGCATTTGGGTTGGTTCCAGGTCTTTGCTATTGTAAACAGTGCTGCAATGAACATTCGTGTGCATGTGTTTTTATAATAGAATGATTTATAGTCCTTTGGATATATACCCAGTAATGGGATTGCTGGGTCAAATGGAATTTCTGTTTCTAGGTCTTTGAGGCATCACCACACCGTCTTCCACAATGGTTGAACTAATTTGCACTCCCACCAACAATGTCAAAGTGTTCCTATTTCTCCACATCCTCTCCAGCATTGTTGTCTCCAGATTTTTTAATGATCGCCATTCTAACTGGCGTGAGATGGTATCTCAAGGTAGTTTTGATTTGCATTTCTCTGATGACCAGTGATGATGAGCATTTTTCATATGTTTGTTGTCCTTACGTATGTCTTCTTTTGTAAAGTGTCTGTTCATATCCATTGCCCATTTTTGAATGGGCTTGTTTGTTTTTTTCTTGTAAATCTGTTTGAGTTCTTTGTAAATTCTGGATATTAGCCCTTTGTCAGATGGGTAAACTGCAAAAATTTTTTCCCATTCTGTTGGTTGCCGATTCACTCTAGTGACTGTTTCTTTTGCTGTGCAGAAGCTGTGGAGTTTGATTAGGTCCCATTTGTCTATTTTGGCTTTTGCTGCCAATGCTTTTGGTGTTTTGGTCATGAAATCCTTGCCTACTCCTATGTCCTGAATGGTTTTGCCTAGATTTTCTTCTAGGGTTTCTATGGTGCCAGGTCTTATGTTTAAGTCTTTAATCCATCTGGAGTTAATTTGAGTGTAAGGTGTCAGGAAGGGGTCCAGTTTCTGCTTTCTGCACATGGCTAGCCAGTTTTCCCAACACCATTTATTAAACAGAGTGTTTAGTCTTGTTTTGTCAAACACCAATTACTATTAGCTTGAGTAGCCTTAAGTGGGTAATAGATTGACTTTTTAAACCTAAGAATTAGATATTTTATCACCCTCCTTTTAGTAGTTACTGCTTCACTAGCGAAGGGAAGGTTACATGATCAGGAGTCTAGACTTGAGAGATAGTAGGATGAGCCCTTCAGTTCCTTCTGGAAGAAAATTATTTGAATTGACTATAATTTTCTGAAGGATGCAATAAACGAGATCAATTTTCTTGTCAGCTCTGATGTTCTCACTACGGCTCTGAGGATTGGGGCCACTCTCTCCTCCCACTTAACCAAGGTCTTAGCCCACAGTGACAGGCTAAGGAGAGGCATGGCTCCTTACCTCCCCATCTCATTCACTTGGTCTTGTCCCCGGTGCAAAAGCCCTAACCTGTGGGAATCATGCGTTGTAACTTTTCAGTTGCAGCAGGAAATCGAAGACTGGAGTAAATTACATGCCAAGCTCAGTGAACAAATCAAATCATTTGAGAAGTCTGAGAAGGATTTGGAAGTAGCTCTTACTCACAAGGATGATTATATTAATGTAAGTACCTTCTCATAAATACAAGCTTAATTCTTGTGAATTATTATGAAATCTGTTGAACTAAACTGGAAAGACTGTTAATGCCGTTTTACTTCTTTTCTAGGATTTGACTAATTGCATTACACAGTTGAATCGATTAGAATGTGAATCTGAATCTGAGGGTCAAAATAAAGGAGGAAATGATTCAGATGAATTAGCAAGTGGAGAAGCGGCAGGTAAGATGGGTCTCCAGGAGGATGCACCCCTTTTCCCTTCCTGTCTCTAAGTACACCAGTGCTACTTTTCAGCTGGCTGCATTTCCTCTTAAGCTTTAGAGTTGTTAACAGATATCACTGGATTTGTGTATATGTCTATTTGCATTGGGCAGAGGTGGATTGCTAGGCTATGGTGTAGCATGCAAGGAACACTGTGTTTTTACATCCCATTGAGACTAGAAGGGTGCACGGGAGCTGCACTGGTCATGTCTTATACCTCTAAGTATTGAACATACACAGTAGTAGAAACTGAATTTCTCAATTTCATGGAGATAACATTTTAAAACTCGTCATCTCAGGAGCTGTTTGATTTTAAGGCCCACAACTGGTTTTAAGAGTACTAAGGTGATTGGAGGCATAAACTAAGGCCATGAGAGAAAACCACAACTGATTTTAAGAGTACTGAGGTGGTTGGATCCAGAAACTAAGGCCATGAGAGTAGAAGCAGTGGAAGATGGGGTAGAAGAAGAGTAGAAGATAGGGTAGCAGTGTTTACTGATGAGGAAAGTGTTTCTAGATGTCGTCTCTCAAGTTGGATATTGCTTACATAGTGAGTGTTTTAAACCACACCTGATAGCCAATTCTGGAGGAGAATAGGAGGGAATCTTTCTGAATGAGACACTTACTAAGCCCAGGTGGAGATAGATCTGAGATTGAAGAAAGAGCTTTATGTCACATGTTTCTTCTTGCTCAATAATGGCGTGTATAACATGTTTATTGTGCAAATGGGAATTCACTTTTTGAATCTAGGTTTTCAGTTCTCTTAAAAGTCAGTCTAATTCTGTTCTATTTTTGTTTGTTCTTTAAATGTTTGAACATGATAATTATTTAGTTTTGCATAAATCAAGAAAATACAGATTTAAAACGCAAGGGAAGAAAAAGCAATGAAAGTCTTTTGTTTTTTAGGTGACCGGAAAGAGAAGATGAAAAATCAAATTAAGCAGATGACGGATGTCTCTCAGGTATAATCCTTTATTTAGAGTCCCATAAGTGCCTGTGAATGCTTTTACTTTTTCTCACTTATATGAATACTTCTCTCTTCTTTAATTTTTAGACACAGACTGCAATATCGGTAGTTGAAGCGGATCTAAACCTTTTACGATCTAAGCTAAGAGCCTCCAGGTCCACTAAATGTAACCTGGAAGGTAGGTTGGTAGGTTGCTTCTTGAGAAGAAATTGCTATATATTGGAAAAATGCAAAATTGTATTAGATAGATAAAGAGTGGTTTCCTGCTTTCATACTTCTCATTCCTCTCAGTACCAAACCCCCAACCAAGTTTTCAAGTTCTTGTGCACACACATAGAGCTCTAATGTTTGACCCTTTGCAGACCAGATAAAGAAATTGGAAGATGACTGCAACTCACTACAATCTGCCAGAGTTGGACTGTAAGATGAGAACAGAACCCTGAGGCAGAAAGTGGAGATTCTGAATGAACTGTATGAGCAGAAGGAGATGGCTTTGCAAAAGTAAGATTTTCATCATTTACTGTTCACTGTCATGTGACTAAATAAAGGTGTGCTAATATAGACAATGTTATCTTTTTTAGGATTATTTATACTTTTTTCCATCTCTAATTAGTACAAATTTGTCTTTCTTCCTATCTGCTTTGTTTCTCATAACCTGCATTTTTCTTTCCTTTCTAACCAGTTGTCAGAAACTGTTGCCTTACATGTGAGAGGGAGCATTTGACTGGGACTGACAGTTCCTGCTGTGGAAGTGCTTCTCTTTTGAAGATCTGTCCACGCCTTTTCTGTGGTTCCACCACTTACTTCACTTTCCTTCCTTTGTGGTCAATTACATAATTTCCTTTAAAAAGTCTGAGTGATTTGTATGACATGTTTTAGTAGAATAAAAACTTCGAAAAAGGACCTTTTACTTATTAAAGGTACATTAAGTTTTGGACTTCACAGAGTCAAATATTCAGACTAAACATAATTGTGGCAAAGATGAGGAGTTTTGAATATAGAACTATTTGGTGTATATATTTAGATACTAATCTTCTGAAATACACATCTTAAATTTTGAGCTAGGTATCTTTTGAAAACTATATTTTTATAATTCATTTCAAGTTTTTTCTCCACAAAAACATCTGAATTCTCTAAAAATAGGTTGTCTGTGGCAGTTACTATTTGTGTTTGCTCTTATATTTTACTCTATGGTGTATATGGCAGTGTGTGAGGAGACCTCTCTTGCTAAGCAAATTTAACCTTTTAGAATGCTTAGTCTGCTACTGCCGTATGCCATTAAACATTACAACTATACCATTAACTTTTTCTCTAATTCTTTGTTCACCAAGCAGCCAGTTTAGATTTTCCAGATTTTGTTCAGGCCAGCTCTAAATGCCTGTCCTGCTTCAGAGAGACATTCCTCATTTCATTACTTTTTTAAAAAGAGCACTTCTCTGCCTCCAATAGTAATGTGAATTATTTAAATGGCAACTGTTTTTCTTCATGATCCAGTTAACCCATTTATGTGCCACAGCATTCACTCAGTCTCCATGTGTGGTTTGTACTCTGCTGTCCACCCCTAAAGTCACTGTGTGTGTTCAGGCCCTTGTCATCTTTTATGCCAGTCCCCTAGCTAATCACCTATCTTGCCACAGCATTCATTCAGTCTCCATGTGTGGTTTGTACTCTGCTGTCCACCCCTAAAGTCACTGTGTGTGTTCAGGCCCTTGTCATCTTTTATGCCAGTCCCCTAGCTAATCACCTATCTATCTTCAGTCTCTCTTATACATCTGCTTCCAAATTCTGATTGTCTCTATAACTGCTAGAGTGAATTTTCTAAAACACAAGTCTGTCCATGTCATTATGTGCTTAAAATCTATCAAGTATGCTCCATTCCCTTGAGGGTCAATTCCATAGTTTAAACAGGTACAGAGGCCACTTTCCCCTCAGCTATCCCTGAGCTGCCTCTCCAGGTGCACTTCCTGCAGTTTCTTCTGATGCTTCTTGAACTGTAGACACTCAACAGTTCTTCCATGCCACTCTAAACTTCTTTGTCTTTCTGTATGCTGTTTTTTCTGCAGTAAAAATGTCCTTTATTGTTTCTGCCTGGCAGTCACCTACCTACTCACATGTTCACGCTCCTAAAAATCTTTCTTGGAGTGAGTAGCATAAATAAATAGGTAGCTACACAGACTGAGCATCATTTGCTTCTTAAATGTAATTCCTAAAATATATTGGAGTTTAAATCTACATATTGGTATCTTCTGTTTATTTAATGGCCTGTTCTGTGTTCCTTTTTACTTTTTTTGAATTATTAGAGTATTAGAGTATTTTAAATTCTTCTGCTCTTCTCTATTTAAGCTTGGTGGTTACAGGTTGTTCTACTTGTCTTGTTGTATTTACTTTAAAGGCCACAGTATGTATCCTGGACTTATTACAAAGTCTGACATAAGGGAGTTACCTCTCTTCATAGAGGAGTTACCTTTCTTTTTTCTTTTTTTTTTTTTTGTGAGACAGAGTCTCTCTCTGTCAGCAGACTGGAGTGCAGTGGCACGATCTCGGCTTACTGCAACTTCTGCCTCCTGGGTTCCAGTGATTCTCCTGCCTCAAGTAGCTGGGACTACAGGCGCCTGCCACCATGCCTGGCTAATTTTTATATTTTTAATAGAGATGTATTTTGTTTCAGAGACGGGTTTTCACCATGTTGGCCAGGATGGTCTCAATCTCTTGACCTCATGATCCGCCCACCTCAGCTTCCCAAAGTGCTGGGATTACAGGCGTGAACCACCACACCAGGCACCAGGCCGAGGAGTTACCTCTTTCTGGGCTTTAACTTCCTCCTGACTTAAATGTTATTGTGGTAATGTATTGAAATGTTCAATATAGCTCAAACTCCACAAAATGTTTTGTGTTTTACAGTGCTATCCTGCTGATACTCAATTTACATACATATTTATAGTTACTATCACACTTTATTCTCCTGCATCTTCAGTCTTCCATTTGCCATCACTGTCATTCTATTTGAAGAATATACTTTAATTCAGGTTCAGTGAGTTCATTTTTGTATGAAAATGCCTTTATTTTGACTCTATTTTAAAAGGATCTTTTTTTTTTTGAGACAGAGTTTTGCTCTTGTTGCCCAGGCTGGAGTGCAACAGCGCTATCCCTGCTCATTGCAACCTCCGCCTCCCAAGTTCAAGTGAGTCTCCTGCCTCAGCCTCCCGAGTAGCTGGGATTACAGGCGTGCACCATCACGCCCAGCTAATTTCTTTTCTTTCTTTTTTTTTTCAGTGGAGATGGGGTTTCTTCATGTTGGTCAGACTGGTCTCGAACTCCTGACCTCAGGTGATCCACCTGCTTTGGGCTCCCAAAGTGCTGGGATTACAGGTGTGAGCCACTGTGCCCAGCCTTAAAAGGATCTTTCTACTGGTTATGGAATTTTGATAGTTGTTTAATACCAGCACTTTAAAGATAACCAGTTATCTTCTGGTTTTAAAGTTTCTTTGAGGAATCTATTATCATTCTTATTTTCTCTTTTTCAAATGCATCATGCCTTCCCTAGTGGCCTTTAGTCATTTTTCTTTTTGGTTTTTCAGCAATTTTGTCGGGAGGCGCCTCATGTAGGGTTTTGTCATCACCCCCCACCCCCACACCCCTGCTTTTGCTTTTTGCATTTATGCTGCTTGAGGTTATAAACATCTCTTGAATTTGGGGCCTCTTTTTTCACATATTAATTCTATTTCATTCTCTCTTGTCCTGAGAATCCCATTAAACATACTAGGATCCCTCATCCCTACCCCTTGCCCAGCACTCCTATATCCTGAATTTGCTTCATTCTGGATGTTTTCTTCTGACCTGTCTTCCAGTGTGCTAAAATGTCACCTCAGTTATCTAATCTGCTGAAATCATGAATTGAGTTGTTTTTGGTTTCACTTACTATTTTTTACTTTTATAGTTTCTGATCCTTTGCTGAAATTCATAATCTTGACTTTTACTTCCTTCAATATATAAGGCACAATTGTTTTAAAATCTGTGGTAATCCTATTATGTGGATCCCTTATGAGTGTGTTTCTCTTGTCTTTTAGATTGCAGTCACATTGTCTTGTCTTATGGAATGCCTGGTTGGTTTTGATGGGGTGGTAAACATTGTTTATGAAAATTGTAGGGGAAATTTGAGGTCTCGGATGATGTTAGCATCCTACAGAAAAGATCTGAGATTACCTCTAGCAGGTGGTCGTCACTTTATTCCAGTTAGCAATTAAGTTCATTGAAAAATGGCTTCGTCTGTTTAAAGGACATTATGTTGCCTGTTCAGTACTCCAAGTGTGCAGCTCTTTTCTGATCTCAACCCAAAGCCTAGGGCTTTTTCTCGGGGACCTTCTCATTGTGAGCCCTGAACTCCACCTCTTGTTTCTCTGAACCCAGGAATCTGTTGAAAGTTCTTCTCAACCTTCATATATGTCTGGCTTATTTTTAATGTGTGGATGAACCTGGGGAACAATGGCTTAAAATGCCAGACTTCCTTATAATTCTGTAGTTTTTCCTACTGGATTTTCTTCACTACCTTATTAGCTTTCTGATGCCTTCAAGCACATTCTTTCTATTTTTGTTTATATGTTCTTATCTTCAGTGTTTGCAGACTAACTCATCCATTATTGGAAGCAAAATTCTCTTGAATCTTTCTTTAAGACTTGTTTTTTCCACATCCCCTCCTAAGCCAGAGTCAGGGAGGGATTGTTCTATTCTTATATGCACCTTTTATACATTCAACTGTGAGCTCTTTTAGTGCAGAGGTGGTACTTACCATACCCACCTTTATCTTAGCCTCTTATAAGGTAACTAGTATATTTTAACCACTCACCAAATATTTGCCGAAATATTAAATGAGCAGTTATAAAGGAATACATCAACTTTTCTCTTTGGTGTTAATAACCTTTTTTACTATAGCTCCTCTATTATTGTTTCCAATTTATAGAAACGTTTCAAGTAGCTTTTGCAACAGGACTATGAGTAAAGTACAAGGGTAACTACAAGTAGCACTTTTAAACCATTAAATGTTGCTGCCTTTACGGTCTGTGTTACAGTATGTTGACATCTTGAGCTTGAAAATTATCAGGTTAAAACCAATTTTCAATACATAGCACCCTGATTACGGGACAGTTTGGATTCTTTTTCTGTTCAACAGACATTGGCAATACTCAGATTTGTCTATCTGCTTAATCATGATTCCTTTGAAATAGGTAGGGGAGCTCCATATCTGAAGTACGAAAATGTTCTGTGGTTAACTGTACAGTTAGAAGGCATGTTCTAAAAAGCCCTTTCGTTGGCCGTCTTTATCATGGTACCAGTCTTGGATTGAGAAACAGCGCAGAAGAAAATTAATTAGTGGTTTTTCTATGGTTAAAAATAAGAGAAGTAATTATTCCCTGTTTTATCCTAACACTGAAGAAAAGTGAGCATTCATCATTTCAACACAACAGTCTTTCCCATGGGACACACAGTGTTTGTTTATTACATTCACTTAATAGTGAAGAAAGAATTACGAGACATTAGAAAATGCAGGTGATGTATCAACAGGCCACAGTTGGATTTTTATGCTAAAGGACACTTTGAATTCCTTCCCATGACTTTGTATAGTCTGTGCATTTTTAAGAATAGGATAGGAAGTGACATTATAATAGAGCATTCAGACAGAATTGCCAGGAGGAAAAGAGAAATACTTTCACTGACAACTGGTTTTATCTTAGGAAATTAAGTCAAGAAGAGTATGAGCGGCAAGAACGAGAGCAGAGGCTATCAGCCGCTGATGAAAAGGCAGTTTCGGCTGCAGAGGAAGAAAAACTTACAAGTAAGTTCACCCTCTAAGACGGTTAAGACGGTGTCACTGGCTAATGAAATTAGTTTTTTTTTTTTTAGCACAAAAGCATAAATAAATGGTTAGAGGACATGAATACGTAAATTCACACAAAAGGAAAACTAAATTTTAAGTTAACAGATGGAAAAATATTAACAAATACCCAGTGCTGGCAAAACTCTAAGGGAACTTGGTTCATGCAAACAGCTCTGGGAGTAGAGGGTGAGGAGGGGGGCAGTTTGTTGTGTGATGTATCAAAAGCCATTAAAGTGATTTTGCCATTTGATAGACCCAGTAATCCTACCTTTGGGAAATTTTTTTATGATATAATTAAAGGATGAAAAAAGGAAATAAAGGTTTATAGTGGAAGATAAGAGGATTATTTGAGAAACATATTTAGGAACAGTTAAAGTAGCTCTATTAGGGTGCAGTTGTTAGGGTAAGTGTTAACATAGTCACATTGTTTGGGTTTTCATTTGGTTGTGCCTTAACTCATAAAGCCAAGTGTAATTTTTAGGCGGAGAATTGAAGAAATGGAGGATGAATTACAGAAAACAGAGTGGTTATTTAAAAACCAGGTAATGATTCTAGTCTCCTATTTAGTGCCCAGAATTTTTTGATAATTAATACAGGCGATTATAATGAATCTGTAAGCATATTTTGTGATGTATTATCTTTTTTAGATCGCTACCCATGAGAAGAAAGCTCATGAAAACTGGGTAAGATTTCTTTTTACTTTCCTGTATTTGGTGCATAGTCTCCTAGAATTTAATTTGAATATATTTCTTCAATAGCTCAAAGCTCATGCTGCAGAAAGAGCTATAGCCGAAGAGAAAAGGGAAGCTACCAACTTGAGACACAAGTATGTGATTTCGATGCCTATGTTTTCAGTGTTATCTCTTAAAGAATTGGTTTCTGTTTCATATTTAAGTCTTTCTTAAATACTCTTTCTCTATATTCAAGATTATTGGAATTAACACAAAAGATGGCAACGCTGCAGGAAGAACCTGTGATTGTAAAACCAATGCCGGGAAGACCAAATACACAAACCCTTCCCCGGAGAGGTAAGGGAGCACCTTGTGAAGGGCAACAATCTGTTTTTGGTGTAAAATGTATATAAATGACTTTTGTTTCTGTGTGTAATGGTTATGATACCCTCGGAATAATCTCAAGAACTTAAGAAAAAAAGGCTGTCTTAAAATGGTAACAAGACGCTGTCACTTTTAGGTCCTCTGAGCCAGAATGGCTCTTTTGGCCCATCCCCCATAAGCGGTGGAAAATGCTCCCCTCCACTGACAGTGGATCCACCTGCAAGACTGCTCTCTGCTACTGTCAGTCAAAGAGCTATGCCTAGATTTGGTGAGCATTCACGTGTCCTTGCAATACTGTTTCAGGTGGCTTTTTCCCTTTTATTTGAGGATTCTAATGCAAACAACACTTTAGAATTTGGGTCTGTCCAGTATAGAAAAGAAAATTTCTTAATTTGTCTTGGTGGATAAGTATTCAACTGCAAGGTTTGTTTTAGAACAAAAAGCATTTATTATTTCCGCTAAGGTCCTTTTATTGTTTCTTTTTAATTTTTTTACTATGAAGTGTAAAAAAATTTTACTTTATCTTTAAAGTTCTGTGGGATTCCTCTCCCAAATACAGCTGACCCTTGAACAACACAGGTTTGATTGTGCAGGTCTGCTTATATGCAGAGTTTTTTCAAAAAATACCTTGGGAAATTTTTTGGAACTTTGCAATAATTTGAAAGAACTTGCAGATGAACCACACACCCTAGAAATATTAGAAAAAATTTAGGCATGTCATGAATGCATAAAATATATGTAGATACTAGTCTATTTTATCATATGCTATTGTAAAATATACAAAAATCTATTTTACAAAGTTTATCAACACTTGTGCAAGTGTTGATTCACAATTGGGAGAAAGTAAACACATGTAAAGACACAGTATTAAATCATAAATGCATAAAGTTAGCTGTAGCATACGCTGTACTACTGTAATAATTTCATAGCCACCTCCTGTTGCTATGGCAGTGAGCTCCAGTGTGGCGAGTATCGGCTTTAAACACCGTGTATGTTAATCTCCATGTAAACATAATCTTTCACAGTTGTTGTGTATTTTTTATGTTTGGTGCAATAACATAAACCTTGAATAACACCACATGACCCATATAAAATGCCGCTAGTGATGCTGGAAGTATTCTCAAGAAGCAAAGTCATGACATTACTAGAAAAGCTGAATTGCTTTGATATAGACCAGACACTGGAGTGTGCAGCAGCAGTTATCTGTCATTTCTGTCACATGATTCCTCCTGTAAACAGATCCTGTACACTTACAGTATAGACAAATACAATACAGTATTGTACATACATTTCCTCCTAGGATTTCAGTAACATTTTCTTTAGCTTACTCTATTAAGGTAAGAATACAGTATACAATATATATATACAGAATATGTGTTAATCAACTGTTTATGTTATTGGTAAGGCTTCTGGTCAGTAGTAGGCTATTTATTAGTAGGTAGGCTTTGGCGAGTCAAAAGTTACACGTGGGTTTTTGACTGCAAAGGGGATCAGCACACCTAACCCCTGCATTGTTCAAGAATCAACTGTATTTGCCTTAGTAACTTTATAGTTTATGAGGCATACATGTTTCCACTTCTCATTACTATAGTGTGAAGTGCTGTTGAGTCTATTTTGAATACTAAATATGTCTACAATAGTAAGATATGGAACTCAGATTACGTATACACTGAACAAAAATCACAATGTAGAATACTGTATATAGAAGTCCATAGCTTGAAGTATAGACCAGAGCCATTAATGTTCAGGGTTTATTGTTCTTTCAGTGCAAGGCATTGCTTATTTTAATTCTTTAAGTCTGTGCATAAATTATAAATGATTTGCCTTCCTGAGTATCGGGAGACCCGTTTTTAATGTTGCTTTCCAGATGGACTTGAACCCTAACCTGTCTACAATGTGTTATTTCTTCTCAAAAATACATACAAGGGCTCTGTTATTTCTTTCACAAGAATCTGTGGATGGGCCTCTGACTCATCCTCAATGGGCAGCTGAGGCATCGGGGAAACCCTCTCCTTCTGGTAAGGGAGCAAGAGTGTTTAAAGAGTCTAAAACCATGCAGGAAGTGGGGAGAGGATTTTTTTTTTTTCATCCGCCTCATAGAGTACGCAAGTCAGAATAAGCCTATGTCAATTCTCTGGTCTCTGACAGATCCAGGACCTGGTACAGCTGCCGTGATGAACAACAGCTCAAGAGGCTCTTCCCCTACCAGGACAATGGACGAAAGCAAGGTAAATGCACCCATTTTGAATATTTATTTCAAGAACATGTGGCTTTTCCTACAACTCTCTCTTTGCTTCATCTCCTATTTGTGTGTTCTATCTGACCTATCTCATTTATTTTTCTAAAAAAGCAAACTGTTCTCCAAGAGCCTGAAGTCCCCTCAGTTCCCAGCATTACATCTTTGGCTGAGCATCCAGTAGCAGTAAGTACGTAGAAGTGTGGACTGAACTGGGCTATAAATTGCCTGGTGATATTGATCGTACTTTTGTCCTTGACTTGGGAGTATTGCTGAAATCTGACTGATTTGTTGGCCTTTTCTCCCTCTCCTGTTTGATTAGACATTTATTTTAAGTTGTGTAATTCATTATTATGTCTTTATTTGGAAATGTGCTATGTAAGAATATCTCCAATTGTATACTAGGCAAAACCTATTCTGAATGACCTGAAATTACAGATTGATAACAGAAGAATGTTTGTTGGAAGTGAAGTACTGAGTAGTGGAAGTCTATAATTACCCATTGGGCCAGTTCTCAGCAGTGGCCTTAAACAGCGTTCACATAAGTGTATTTTCTTGTAACTTGTGTAGCTGTTAAGGCTGGTAAGTCCTCTGGTCAGACCTCACCATGCTTCTCTGTATTGAAATCAAAGTACATTTATTTTAATGATTGAGAGTTTCCAAACCACTTTCCCATAGGAAATGACTAGTCAGTGTCTCATAGTAGACAGTATTACTAGTGAATGAATGTATTTAGAGTATGCTGGTGTCATTTGTGTATATAACATTGTTTCTCTTGGAAAATGCTTCGGAGTTCCAGCACATGACTTGAGGAATACACATCTCTTGAGAAATCTTTTTATCCAAGGGCAGCTCGGATAAGAGCCAAGACCCCTTTGAAGTAGAAGGCTTCAAAGAGAGTAGAGACTACTTTGTTAGAGAGGAGAAGTAGAGGTGGAAAGAACATGGCCTTGGAGTCAAACCTGGCATTGAATTCCAGCCCAGCTTCTTACATGCTGTGTGACTGTCAGCAAATTATCTAATACTCTCTGTGCCTGTGTTCCTGCATATTTAGAGTAAGATGGTCCTGTTAGAGATTTAGAGATAGGAGAATTTGAGTTAACGTATGTAAGGCCTGTTGAAGGTACTCTGAATAATGCTATTACATGGTAGAGAATGGATTTTTCATTCCCTTTTATTCTCCGCATTCTACATATGGAAATTATTCCGAGGGGAGGGAGGGATGTGCAGAGGGAGTGCCTGCCGTAGAGATAGTATTAGTCAGGAATGACTTCCCTTTGTAACCTTTGCTTGCCCTTCCATTGAAGATATAAGCAATAATACGATTATAGCAAAAGTGTTCACTCCTGTGACATACTTTTAACCTTTCTAAGCTGTCAGTGGGAACAAATGAGAGTGGTAGTTGTTGCACTGATTCTGCTCTTTGGACAAGTGCCTGACATGTGCTTCATTGGGTTTTAGTTTTTACTGGTGTTGGTACTTTTGTCTGTCACACCAGAGTATTTCAAAACTTCAATTGCTTCTACTCTGCAGGTTAATATGACTCCAAAAGGGCCCCCTCCTTTCCCAGGAGTCCCTCTTATGAGCACCCCCATGGGAGGCCCTGTACCACCACCCATTCGATATGGACCACCACCTCAGCTCTGTGGACCTTGTGGACCTTTTTGGCCTCGGCGAATTCCTCCACCCTTTGGTAAGATGATCTGAACAGTAGTAACTGACCTGTAAAGCATGGTCATCTTCTCTCTCCATCCCTTGCTGAAACACCTGCAATTGCTGGGCTTTGCAATGCAGCGATGAAGCTGACTGAGTACATCGTAACTTCTCCCCAAGTTTCCTAAGACACATAGGGGGCTTCATAATGTCCTGTGATTAGATGGGCAATAATTGTCTCTAATAGAATAAGGAAAGGGGCTATTTATAGAAAGCCAGAAATATTCAGCACATGTTTTTTGAACATCTCTGGCTGTGTACTAGGTTCTACAATGGATAGCAAGGTAGATAAAACACGTCCCCTAATTAAGATGTCCTGTAGGTCACAGATATACACAATCTACAACATAAAGCTTCTAGTCACCCACAACAGAAGCATAAGCAGTGGGTCACAGAATATTAGAGAGGGAAAGATAAAACCCTCAACCCTCACCTTGGGGAATACAAAGGAGGGAGATAGGAAAGAGAAGGAAGATTTTAACTGCTGTCTAATGAATGCTGCTGATTTAATTAGATGAAGCTGGAAGACCTTTTCCAGCAGGGCCAGCACCTGGATTGTTATGGCATGTATTAGGCACATGTTGAGCTACTACATAAATTTTTAATATACAGTAGTAAACAATGGAATTTGTCAAAATATTTGTTGCAATGAAGCCATATTTAGTCTATCTTCTTGTTATGGTATATAGTACTTCCAAGTACATATTTATCTCAAGATAAAGATGACAGGCCAGGCACAATGGCTCATGCCTATAATTCCAGCACTTTGGGAGGCTGAGGCAGGTGGATCCCTTAAACCTAGGAGTTTGAGACTAGCCTGGGCAGCATGGTGAAACCCTGTCTTTTCAAAAAGTACAAAAATTAGCTGGGTGTGGTGGTTTGCACCTGTCGTCCCAGCTACTCGGAGTCTGAGAGGGGAGGATCGATTGAGCCCAGGAGATTGAGGCTGCAGTGAGCCATGATCACTTCACTCTAGTCCAGCCTGGCTGACAGGCAAGACTCTGCCTCCAAAAAAAAAGGGATGACAGAATATATTAACATACCTGGCATTGTCTTAATTTAGCTATGTTCCTAGGAATTTACTCGACATAATTTTTGTTTTCCAGGCCCTGGTATGTGTCCACCACTAGGCTTAAGAGAATTTGCACCAGGAAGACGGGACGTGCCACTCCACCCTCGGGTGTTTTTACCAGGACAGGCACCATTTAGACCTTTAGGTCCTCTTGGCCCAAGAGAGTACTTTATTCCTGGTACCCGATTACCACCCCCAACCCATGTTCCCCAGGATTACCCACCACCACCTGCCGCAAGAGACTTACTACCGCCAGGCTCTATAGATGAGCCTCCTCCTGCCTCAGCACTAGTCAGGACTGTGCATTATTCATTTTAAAGGACTTCATTGGCTTCAAAATCCAAGTTTATTTTAAAAGATATGTTAGAACTAAGCTGCCTTGGCAGTATGCATTTTTGAGCCAAACAATTCAAAAATGTCATTTCTTCCCTAAATAAAAATCACCTTTTAAGCTATAGTGTTCTTACTGCTTTGAAATGTGCAATAAAGAACACTTGTGTTTTAGCCAATGTAGCATTGTAATTGCTAAATGATTTAGAATGTCATGAAAAATATGAACATTTCCTGTGGAAGTGCTTTAAGAACATGTATTTCCATCATCCCGTTTTTAGTGTACACCAGCTGAATACAGAGCAATGGTGTTTATAAGCATTTTTGTTTTTTTTAAAAAAACTATCTGGTCCCAAAGACTGGTACGCTAAAAATGTTTACTAAAAGATCACTAAACTTTCTCTCCCCTCTTGCTGAAGTTCTTTGTAGTAATAGTTCATAAAAAGTTGTTTATTAATATTTCCCAAGTGTCTGTTGATTCATTGGACTCTTAGGAGGCTTGTGCCATTTGGAAAACATGTAAACTCAGTCTCCCAGAACTGAAGATGGTGGCTGGCAGCACACTTCCGGCTGCTCCCCTCAGACACCTGTGAACTCTGCAAGTGATGTCTTTTTATTTCAAAGAAGTTAGTGGGTTCCCACTTGTGTAGCATTCACATGCTTGCTTTATACACTTATTCTCTATTTGAGAATGGTTTTCAGAGAGTGAGTTTACATTAGTAGCAAGAGTTGTTTGACCTGATGTTCTATTGCTTTCACCATTCCTGTAGAAAGGTTGCACAACAGAAAAGTGAAAACGATGTGTCATAAAAGTACTAAAATCTTTTTTAAATGTTAAAATGTATGGTCTCTTATCTTTCCCATACCTTGCCACTGATTTTCAAGGAATATAATAAAAGGATTGGAAAAGTATAACGCCATGAGAAAGAATGATGTAGGGCTGTGATGCTTACACCATGCCCTAGGTCAGCAACCAAGGGTTGAAATTCTTTTCTGGGGGGGGAAGGGGGGACGACAGATTCCAAAATTAATATTTAAACATTGGTGCTTTTATTTAAAAATCATTAACTATCTGGAATTGCACCATACTCAAAAGTCTTATTCATTGCTACACAGTGTCTTTAAAACAATGTTTCTTTAAAAACTATGTTTCTAAGAACTCTTCAGATATTTTAATTACAATAGCAATAGCACTCCTTTTAAGGAGTTTAAGATTTAGATTAGGATCATAAAAGGCTGACACTTTCCTTAATTGCTAGGCTATATTCTTCCATTCTTTAAAGTCCTATGATGTAATATCTTTGAAACTTAGTGTATGACTTGTCACTGTTTTGATATTTAATTGATTTATACCTTGTATAAAGGAGCAAAAGCTTTGACATGAAACAAAATTTTCTCCTTGTACTAAAAGACTGAAGATAGTTTAGAAAGATAAGGACCTTTGAAAGAAGACAACTCTTGCACAGTTCATAAGGAATATATGAATTCTTCAGGAAAAGAGAATTCAGTCTTTATTTCTTCTCATTTAATATCAAGAATAGAAATTAAGAGGAAAACTCCATGGCCGGGTGCAGAGGGTCACGCCTGTAATCCCAGCACTTTGGGAGGCCGAGGCAGGTGGATCACGAGGTCAAGAGATTGAGACCATCCTGGTAAACATGGTGAAACCCCGTCTCTACTAAAAATACAAAAAATTAGCTGGGCACAGTGGCGCATACCTGTAATCCCAGTTACTCAGGAGGCTGAGGAAGGAGAATTGCCTGAACCCAGGAGGCGGAGGTCGTGGTGAGCCGAGATCGCGCCATTGCACTCCAGCCTGGGTAACGAGCGAAACTCTGTCTCAAAAAAAAGGAAAACTCCATAGAGGGCAGGGGCCACTTTTAACCATGTAAAATAAGATTAAGTCACAAATACAGCTTTTGAGTTTACCCGTCAATCTGTTTAGAACACTAAACAATGCTGAAGTTAATAGTTTCTAATTATTATTACTTTTTTTTAGACAAAGTTTCATTCTTGTTGCTCAGGCTGGAGTGCAATGGCATGATCTCACTCACCTCAACCTCTGCATCCCAGGTTCAAGTGATACCCCTGCCTCAGCCCCCTGAGTTGCTGGGATTACAGGCATATACCACCACGTCTGGCTAATTTTTTTTGTATTTTTAGTAGAGATGGGGTTTCTTCATGTTGGTCAGGCCAGTCTCGAACTTCCAACCTCAGGTGATCTGCCCACCTCGGCCTCCCAAAGTGCTGGGATTACAGGCGTGAGCCATTGAGCCCGGCCAGTTTCTAATTTTAAATGTCATTTAAATGTAGATTATGCCATCTAGGAAGGTAAGTAGGAAAGGTAAGTTAAATCCATTTTTTAAATTCCAAAATTAGAGTATTTTTCCCCTCTAAAGCCTTTTTTGTTGATTTTTCTGTATCTGATATCACTGAGGAATTGGTAAACTGTAAAGATTCCAGTGTAGTTTATCTGAGAAGTTGTAGTATCAGCTTATCTGAGAAGAGTAGTCATGGGATTTCATCATGTTGGCCAGACTGGTCTTGAACTCCTGGCTTCAAGTTATCTGCCCTCTATGGCCTCCCAAAGTGCTAGAATTACAGGTGTAAGCCACTACAGGGAATGTGTTTCTTAAACTGAGTTTGTGGGGGGCCACGGTGGCTGCGGCTAGTTGTTTTGGCGCGTGGGGAGGTGAGGCCATGAGTTCAAGGCCAACCTGAGCAACGTTACATGCTCTCATTGATTGACAAAAATAAATAAATAAATAAATAAAATAAAAACTGAGTTTGCTTTGGGAGTGATGCAACTGTAAAACTTTCTGGTTTGGCTTGCAATATTTCAGATCTAGGAAAACACACTCAACACTCTCACACTTTGTTAGTTGTTTTGGCCGTCTGTGGTCAGGATATCTGCTGCTAGGAATGCTGTGAGGTGACGTGCTCACAGTGCCCTGAGGATATATTGGCCCTTTACTAACACACTGAATGCCTCTTGGCAAAGCCATTTGTGATCCTTGAATAACTCAGTACCAGGACTACTTACTCTGAGTTACTCAGTCATCAAGTAACAAAATAGTAAGAAAGAGAAGTTTTGGAAGCTCTAATCCCACTTCATTTCTCCCCCTTCCCAGACACCAGCTGATCTCTAGAAAGAGCAAGTACCTGCATGTGAGTATTTTTCAACTTTCTGAACTTTTCAAAACCTTAGGCTGTAAGGAAGAGGAATACATTTTGGCTTTTCTATGCCCTAGAGATGGTTTTCTAAGAGTCCCAGACCCTTCAAGGAAGGCTCGCTGGCATCACCAGGCATCTTTTTAGAAAATAAAGCCACTTGCTACAGAAAAACTGTCTTTTCCCACCTTTCCAACATTTCAGAGATCCCATTCAGTTTTCCGTTCTAGACCCACCCGCTACCCTCCAATGCAAAACAGTGTTCCAAATGCCTTGAATTTGGTGTGTGCAGTCCGTTATGTTGATACATGAATTCTGAGCACTTTCCCCAGCTCACTTTCAGTCCAGATTATATTTTTGCCACATGTGTTTGCAGAAAGACCATATGAGCAAAGAAAGCAGAGTGGGCTCAAACATTTAGTCCAGAGGTTAGATCCAATCTCCTCGAACTGGCCTGGGGTTTTCAGCTCTTTGAACAAATAATTCTGAGTTAATCCCCTCCATCTTTATCTTACTGTCTTCACCTGAAAAGAAGCTAAAAGTGTGAAATATCCAGTTGGTTAGAATCTGAAGTTTATTTCAATCCTAGAGAGTATTCATAAGAGCTATAAAGGTAGGCAAGGGAAAAACTATATGAGAAAGATGAAGAAGACTTAAAGATTATCAAAAAAATGATCTGCCACAAACAATGACGAGTGTTTAGCATCTTCAGTAAAGACAGAACAAGAGAAAAAGAGAGGTTTGATGGGTTCCTGTTAGGTAAGGTTACCTGAGGTAAAAAGATAGAACCTGCTTCAATGGAAGTCTTTTTAAAAATACATCTATCCAGAGTATGTCCAGCCCCATCTAAAACAGTGATCATATGACCCTGAAAGTTAATAACCCTGGTATTTTATGCTTTTGTTCTCCTTAAACCAAATTGCCTACACTCTTCTGGATGTTTTGCATAATATGAAGAACTTTATGAAATGAAAATAGGGACCATTTCCTGTCTTAGTTCTTCATTCCTCAAATACGTAGTTCAAAAGTCACAATCCTTCACTGAGGGCCTCCATGAAGGCAGGTGCACAGCAGATTGCAATGGGGCATTGGTTCTAGTCCAGCTGAGCTAGCTGTTCCCTGTTCCCTCACTCCACTGCCATCAGTCACTTAACCTTACAAAGCTTCACTTTTCTCATCTTCAGTGGAGGTTATATGGCAACAGAGCAGGGCTTTGAGGTTTCAAGAGAAGGTATAACCTTGGCACATAGTAGGTGTTCAAATAAAATGTAGTTAAGTTTATTATGCTATGTGCACAACAAGGCCAAACAGTGAAACTTCCTTTGCAAAGATGATGATGGTGAGAGAAGCCTGGCATGGCAGACTCCCTCTTACTCCCAGCCTCACGGGCTGGCTGTCCTCACTTATTCCTGACATATGCCAAGCTAACCATGGAAGGAATTCCGTTTATAGTTTAACTTTGAAGCAAGAATGATAATAGTTCCTCCCTAAAATTAACTACCTCCTTGCTGGGACTGAAGCTGCCTTTGTAAAACTGTTGAAAGGCCACTAGATTATAGGAGGGGTCTGAATTCTGCTCAAATGTAAGCAGAGTTTCTATAATCCCTTACTGCTCAGGAGTCATGTGGTCAGAGGTCACGAGATTTGTGACTTCTCCAATTGCTCGTATAGATAACATCACTATTGTAGCACCTAAGATTGGTCTTTTGAGATGTTTTTCAGATTGTTGCATTCTGGCAACCAACTAACCCTATCCGGATTTGTGATTTATGACTCAACAGGTCCTGTGTCTGCGATTCAGAGGCAGACTCAGCGCACAAGGACTGTTCCTCACACCCCTGTGATTTCATCCTCAACCAATCAGCAACACACATTCCCTAGCTCCTCCCCCACCAAACTATCCATAAAAACTCCAGCCTCTGAGTTCTCTGAAACTGATTTGAGTAAATAACTCCAGTCCTACTTGGCAGGCTTTGTGTTATTAAACTCTATCTCTCCTGCAATACTGTGGTCTCAGGGAATTGTTTTGTTTTTTTTTTTTGAGAAGGAGTTTTGCTCTTGTTACCAGGGCTGGAGTGCAATGACGTGATCTCGGCTCACCGCAACCTCCGCCTCCTGCGTTCAGGCAATTCTCCTGCCTCAGCCTCCCGAGTAGCTGGGATTACAGGCACGCGCCACCACGCCCAGCTAATTTTTTATATTTTTAGTAGAGACGGGGTTTCACCATGTTGACCAGGATGGTCTTGATCTCTTGACCTCGTGATCCACCCACCTTGGCCTCCCAAAGTGCTGGGATTACAGGCATGAGCCAGGGAATTGGTTTTGTCTGTGCGCTATACAGGAAGAACCTGTCAGGCAATGACGATAGTAAGTGCTGGAGATACAGAACTGAACTTGCTCTTGTTCACGTCATGAGCTTTGGGCTGGGGAAAGGAGATAACACAGTTAAACAGTCTTTCCTTGAAAGCTTGTCACAGGCTTTCTCTTAGAACTGGGATGAGGCAGGAGGGGGAAATACGGTTCTTATGCAAGTGTGGTATACCATGCTAGATTTCCTAATGTCAAAAAAACATCCAGGATATCAAAGAATATGTGTCAGTTTGAGCAAATGTTGATTTATTAACTCAGGTTGTAGGCATTTATAAGACAAAATAGAGATATCCACTGTGATTCCAAGCAGGCTTATGGACTAGCACACACAATAACCCAGGTGCACTGGTGATCTGGGATATGGTCCCCTA